GGGGGGAAGCAGGGAAGGGGATGGGGGGAAGCAGGGAAGGGGATGGGCGGAATCAGGGAAGGGGATGGGGGGAAGCAGGGAAGGGGATCGGCGGAATCAGGGAAGGGGACGGGAGGAATCAGGGAAGGGGACGGGGGAAAGCGGGGAAGGGGACGGGGGGAAGCAGGGAAGGGGATGGGGGGAAGCAGGGAAGGGGATGGGGGAAAATGGGGAAAGGGATGAGTGGAAGCAGGGAAGGGGATGTGGGGAAGAAGGGAAGGGGATGGGGGAAAATGGGGAAAGGGATGGGGGGAAGCAGGGAAGGGGATGGGGGGAAGCAGGGAAGGGGATGGGGGGAAGCAGGGAAGGGGATGGGGGGAAGCAGGGAAGGGGATGGGCGGAATCAGGGAAGGGGATGGTGGGGAGCAGGGAAGGGGATCGGCGGAATCAGGGAAGGGGACGGGAGGAATCAGGGAAGGGGACGGGGGAAAGCGGGGAAGGGGACGGGGGGAAGCAGGGAAGGGGATGGGGGGAAGCAGGGAAGGGGATGGGGGGAAGCAGGGAAGGGGATGGGGGGAAGCAGGGAAGGGGATGGGGGAAAATGGGATGAGGGGAAGCGAGGAAGGGGATGTGGGGAAGAAGGGAAGGGGATGGGGGAAAATGGGGAAAGGGATGGGGGGAAGCAGGGAAGGGGATGGGGGGAAGCAGGGAAGGGGATGGGCGGAATCAGGGAAGGGGAAGGGGGGGAGCAGAGAAGGGGATGTGGGGTAGCAGGGAAGGGGATGGGGGGAAGGAGGGACGGGGATAGGTGGAAGCAGGGAAGGGGATTGGGGGAAGCGGGGAAGGGGACGGGGGGAAGAAGGGAAGGGGATGGGCGGAATCAGGGAAGGGGATGGGCGGAATCAGGGAAGGGGATGGGGGGAAGCAGGGAAGGGGATGGGGGGAAGCAGGGAAGGGGATGGGGGGAAGCAGGGAAGGGGATGGGGGGAAGCAGGGAAGGGGATTGGGGGAGGCAGAGCATGGGTGGGGGGAAGCAGGGAACGGGATGGGGGAAAGCATGTAAGGGGATGGACATATGGAAGCAGGGAAGGGGATGAGTGGAAGCAAGTAAGGGGAAGGGAGACAGGAAGATGGCGCAGGCGATGCGGCGTGTATGGCAGGGCAGAAGGGAGGGCGACGGGCGGAAGCGAAGGCGACGGGCGGAAGCGAAGGCGACGGGCGGAAGCGAAGGCGACGGGCGGAAGCGAAGGCGCGGGCGGAAGCGAAGGCGACGGGCGGAAGCGAAGGCGACGGGCGGAAGCGAAGGCGACGGGCGGAAGCGAAGGCGACGGGCGGAAGGGAGGGCGACGGGTGGAAGGGAGGGCGACGTGCGGAAGGGAGGGCGAAATGAAGGCAACGGAAAGAGGGGGGGAGAGGGGGGAGTGAAGGCGACGGGCGGAGCGAAGGAAAGAGAGCGGAAGCGACGAGCAGCGGAAGCGAGGGCGACGACGCGGGCGAAAGAGCGCGGAAGCATGGGAAAGGAAAGCGAGGGCGAGGGGAGGGTCATGTTTGGGCGAACGGTTGCGATTTGTTTTTCGCCGCGAGTTACGCTACGGAACGCCAACGCCCTGCCCTGTCTACAGGTATGGTCTGTGCTCTGCGTGCTATCCCCAACTGTGCACAGTTTGGTAAGCTCACGCTTTTCTGGTTGTGGGAAGGACCCCACCCATCATGGGAAGCGAGAAACTTTTGTTGCAAATTGGTTTCGCGAGTGAAAGTTTCTCGCAACCCAACCGAACCTCTCCGTGCCTGCCTCCCGAACCTAGTTTTTAGCGTTGACTTCCGTTGAGTAATTCAGGTCTTGGGCTTTAATGTTCAGGGCATTAAGGGCATATGCCCTTGAATCGACAGCCCTTCCCAACCTCCACCAGGGCAGCCCGCGGAGCAGCCCAGCACCAGCTCATTCCTGCATGGTTAGAAGACCCACTTGGAAATACAAGTCAGCAGAGAAATCCCGAACCAGCTGGCCGAACGAATGGCACACTTACAATCGCCAATCAGGAACTCGAAAGCTTTCCTTCCTTGCCAGCTCTATAGCCCCGGACCAGGCTGAACGAGCCTACCGGAAATCTGAACACCAATCAGCAGAGCAGGAAGGCCGCCAAACCAGCGCCCCTCTATCGAACGAACGTCCGTACACACCACACTACCATACCTCCTCTGGTCTGGTTTCCCCTTCCCCTCCAAACACCCCAAGCAACAGGCGCCTCCATTTCTCGATCTCGTCTCCGCAATTCGAATCCAAATACAACTAGCTCTTCCCGATTCTTGTTATCTCGATTCTCCGTTTCTGCCGATTTGTCAAAGCAACTTCTTTCTTTCGTCGACAAATTCTTCTGAGCCTGACAAAATGGGTCGAAACATTCCTGTCGTTGTCCTCTTAGTATCCCTGCTCGTGTCCTTTTCTCTCCACGCGAACGCAGCAGTGATTAAACCGAACCAGCAAACGGCGATGCTCAACGCCAAGAGCGCGTACGGCAGCTTCAAGGGAAGTAACACGTGGAAGGCGGGCGCGGACTGCTCCACGTGGCAGCGCGTGCAGTGCAACAGCGCGGGTGACGTCACGCACATCCACCTCGCGAACGCGATGATTCGCGCCACGGGCGTCGGCATCGCGCCCAGCTTCGTCTTGCTCACAAAACTCGCTTTCCTCAGCCTCTACAACAACAGCCTCACCGCCGAAGTCGGCACCGTCCTCTCCACCCTCACCTCCCTGAAAGTCCTCAACCTTCAGCTGAATCGCTTCTACGGGAGCGGCTCGAGCAGAATCTGGAAATTAACTAAGCTAACGTACCTCGATACCTCCCACAATCTGCTCGTCGGACCGCTCGGCGCGGGCCTGGGAGCGCTGACGAACCTCGCGTACCTGGACGTGTCTTCCAACTACTTCCGCGGCGCCATCCCCGCGACGTTCAGCAACCTCGTGAAGCTCACATACAGCGACTTCAGCGGCTGCTTCTTCACGGAGCTTCCGCCCGCCTTTCCCGAGCTCGACCCGGGCAACCTGACGTTCGCGGCGGAAAGCAATCTCATCATGAGCATCCCCATCACCTTCCCCGCGTCCGCCGCGGGCGTGTTCAGCATCGACCTGTGGGGGAACCTGCTCGCTGAGCTCCCCACAGAGATCGCGCTGCTGACGGAGCTGAAAATCCTCAACCTCGCGGCGAACCGCATCGCGACACCGCTGGAGGACATCGCGTGGAGCGAGCTGGCGGCGCTGGAGCAGCTGTACCTGGGCCGCAACGCCATCCCTGGCACCGTCCCCACGGACCTCGCGGCGCTCACGGCGCTGAAGCACCTGCACTTCCACACGAACCTGCTGACAGGCTCGCTGCCAGACGAGCTGACGCTGCTGACGGACCTGCTCTCGCTGGACATCGGCCTCAACACAGAGCTGGGCGACGGGCAGGACTTTCCTGCGGGGTTCAGCGAGCTGCAGTCGCTGACGCGGCTGGTGATTATCGGTGATAATTTTGCCGGGCCGCTGCCGCAGCCGTACTTGGGGGCGGACCCGGGGTTTTACCTGGACGCTCGGAACAACTCGTTCACGGGGTCTCCCCTGGTGCGGGACGTGTGCCCCAACTCGCGGCCCAACCGGCTGCGTGTGGCGTGGAACTGCCTGGATGACACCACGGACTGCTCCACCGACCAGCGCGTATGTGCCAGATAGCTGGGTAGGATGGTGGGGCTGGGGGGGGGGGAGGAGGGGGGGGGTGCTAGGATGTCAACACGGGTTGCTGGGGATGATTGGAAATAAATATGGTAGATACAGCTGGCTAGGTTCGGGAAGGCTATGTTTGGCTCACCATTTGTTTGTACATAATTAGCCTTCACAATGAGGACATATCCAATTGCCTTGAACTAGCCCTTCTCCGATCCTCCAATCCACATATCTTGCAACAGGCTCTCCCTGGAGCTCATGCTCTTGGTTCATCATCAAACTTTCTGTCTAGAGCTATGCAGAAAAAGAAAGGGATGTAGCCACTAATCAAGACAGGTACCTATCGGTTGACTATAAGAGCTCTGGAGATGCAGAAGCATTTTCAATTCACACATCACCCGTTATGGTGCAGTGTCGAATCATCTCTAGCGAGTTTTTCACGACCTGCCGCAATTTCCAGTTACGACCGGCACTGTTGGATTTGTGTGCGCCTGCGTCGAGCATGCACTACAAGACAAGATGCGCAATACTGTAACAAATTCGCTCTAGGCTTGGCAGGGAAGGGAGGACAGGGCACACACCAGCGCAGACATGATCCAAGCCACGCCAGCTAGCCTCGGCTGGCGGCACCGAGGCGGCCCTCAGTTCGACCCGACCCGACTTGACATGACACCCCCCCGCCCCTTTCCCCACATTCCCCCTGGGCGCAGGTGGTCTGGCGGACTTGCAGCTGTTCCAACCGAACCTTCTGGCGGATGGTAACGAATTTGCGGAGCCCTCTTGCGGAAGACTGGGTTTGGTGCACGGGCCAGGGAATTTCGCAACCATCGCGCACTCAACCTTCTGTGGCCTTTCCCTGCCAGCACATTTCCTTCCACTCGTCTTTTTTCAGCAATGCCGTACGAAGAAAGGCACAAGCCGCAGTCGATCACCCCCATCCTGCTTCCTTCTCTTACGAGACTTGTTCTGATTAGTGTACATCAAAATCCTGTCGCTTTTCAACGCGCCCTCCGCAGCGCCGCTTACACATCCACTCATCTCGCGCGCCGCCAGGCTCCGCCGCCTCTTAACACCGTGCCGTACAATCACCAACGCCGCCGCTTCCTCTGATGCGCCCCCTCCACTCCCCTATCTCTCCACTCTCTTCTGTTATGTCGATCTATATTACGGGCTGTGCTCATATGTTGAACTTCACAACGTCCTTTCGTGACCTAGCTTCGACAAACCTGTTACTGTCTCTCTAATCGTCTCGCGCCGACGAATTCTCTCCGTCCCTTAGTGCTCGACCCTCTACTTTGAGTCCGTAGCCAGGGCAATCGCCATGAAGCACTCACGCGGCAGTAGCGACAGAATCCCGTATCCCCGCGGGAGCAGGTACCGCATGCCCCTTCTGCTGCTGCCCTGCGTTTTCCTCGTTATTAGCCTCTCCGGCAGCAGCCCCGCGCGCGCGCAGACCATCAAGCCGCCGCAGGAGGCGGCGCTTTTGAGCCTCAAGACGTCCTTCGGGTACTTCACGGGGAGCAGCACGTGGGGCGCGGGGAAGAACTGCACGGGATGGCTGCGCGTGACGTGCAACTCCGCGGGGGACGTGCTCCGCCTCAACTTCACTTCCGCCAGCATGCGCTGGAAGACCGCGGGGATCCCCGCCGCGCTCACCAACCTCACCAATCTCGACACGCTTATCCTCGCTAATAACGAGATCGTCGCCCCGATTCCGTGGTACTTATCGAAGCTGCCGAAGCTGAAGCGCCTCGATTTAAGCAACAACACGTTCTACGGCGGAACGAATCAAATCTGGGCGCTCACCAAGCTCACCTTCCTCGACGTTTCCAAGACGCTCCTCCGCGGCGCGCTTCCGTCTGCCATCAGCGGCTTGGCCAATCTGGTGGTTCTCAACGTCAGCGACTCGTACTTCTCTGGACCAATCCCGGACGAGTTTTCGAGTCTGACGAAGCTGCAGTTCGGCCAGTTGGACCGGTGCTTCTTCACCGCCCTCCCCGCCGCGCTTCCGGAGCTCGCGTCTGGCGCGCTCACCTTCACGGCCTCGGGAAACCTCTTCTCGGACATTCCCGTTACCTTCCCCGCATCCTCCGCCACCGTTGACACGCTCGACCTCTCGTCCAATCGCATCACTTCCCTCCCGACGGAAATCTCCCTCATGAGCGACCTGCGCCAGCTCAACCTGGCCAACAACCAGCTCAGCATCGCGCTGGGTGACGTCACCTGGAGCGGCCTTCCGAGCCTGGAGGGGCTGTACCTGGGGTTTAACGAGATCACGGGTTCGATTCCTGCCGAGGTCAGTGACATCTCCAACCTCAAGACGCTGCAGCTGCAGAACAACAGCCTCAGTGATGTGGTTCCCGATGAAATCGGATCGCTGGTGAATCTGACAGCGCTGGATCTGAGCAACAATGGCTTCACGGGCAACATCCCTACGACCCTCAACAGCCTCTCATTCCTCCTCCGCCTCGTGGTTGCTAACAACCAGTTCGACGGCCCGCTGCCCCAGCCCTATAACGGAGCCAATAGCAAGTTCTTTTTGGATGCCCGAAACAACTTGTTCACGGGGTCGCCGCGCGTTTCAAACGTCTGCCCGAACGCGCGCCCGACGAAGCTGCTGGTGTCGGGGAACTGCCTGAGTGACGACACGGGGTGCGCCGCGGTGCAGCAGAACACATGCGATGCGTGAGAGAGGGCATGTGGGGAAGGCTCTGCTGCTAGCCATGGGTCATGGCTTTGCAATGGAGCTGAGAGAGGCTTGTGGGCAGTTGCAGGTAGCTTTTTTTCTTGTGGTGTTTCACTCTAATTTAGTTTGTAACCATGGTGTTGATAGGAAGGGTTGGTTGGGGGGGGGAGGGGGGGGGGGGGGGGGCGAGAGGAAGGGCTTGTGAAGTGGCTGCAGCAACTGCCAATAGTTGAGCTGCGGCTCATCGTGCAAGCCATGCCGCTTTTTCAACAGTGGGCGGTTTGGGAAATAAAAAGGTGGCGGGGTTGAAATATGGTGCAGGTGCATAGGCCGATTCTTGTGCCACGGCGTGTACGTATGGTGTGCGTACCGCAGGTTGATGCTGGAGGGCGCCTGCTGCTTGATTATGGAAAAATACCTGACATCAGTACTATTGGCTGTGGTTCATCCCAAACGTATAAGTTCGGTAAACACCTGGAAAAACAAGTCGGGATGGTCTACGTCTATTGTATCCAAAACATGCATCCATCCATGGAAATTTGAGGGGCCAAGCCAATTGCTCCTCTGGAGTTAGATAGAAACAATATGGCTTCCACCCACGTCTTCACTTTACGTTCCAACATTTCAAGTGTCCATAATTATAATTGGTCATGGGGTGACTGCATAAACTTAAATCGTACTTCATTTGATGGCAATGGCCATTGCATTCAGTTTGCACTCACTTGTTTTCAATAGTCATACGTACGGGTGTATTCCACCCGGATCTGTTACGTTGTATGTAGTGTTTTGAGCTGGGGTTGCGATTGTCGTTTTGACGACGTAACCCGCTCCAAGAAATGTCGCAAGCTTGTCAGTAGCAATGTCAGCTCACCTCGACCTACCATTGGCTTTCGCTCCTGCACCACCAATAATTCAAAACGCGTTGCAACGGACGAGATCACCCTATCCCGAATCGAAGGGTCTCCGTTGTTGCTCGAGTCCGGCCGAGCCGAGTGGGCGAGGGCAGGTTGCGGAAGGTGGGCGGAGTGGGCGCAAGATCTGCGGTTTGACGGAGTTTGACGCGTTCGCTTGTAATTTCCATCCGGGCAGACGGCCGGGGATGGATGGATTGATCAGTACGTCACGAGTTGTGTGGAAAATGAAATCGGGGAGTGGGCCGTGGGCAGAAAAAACAGCTCACCCCCACAGCCCCCCCCACCCCCATATTGAGGAAATGGAAAATATACCACAAGTAACGAACTTGGGACTCGATAACGTAAATGGTACAAAAAAAACGCGTACGGTCACTGTATCGGGTTTCCAGACGGGTTTGGTAAGTGGGGTCACGGATTCAGTCATTAACAACAGGTAAAAAATCACGCGAATGGTCACACATGTAACTCCCGCCAAAAAAACTTGAAACTCAACAAAATTCCCGCTCGCCCCCAACCAATCTGCGAACTTGTAAAAAAAAACTAAAACCCAATCGGAATCGGATGCGGTTCGGGAACGGATCAACCCTAAACACCTGGCTAGTTACGTGTTAGGGTTGATTCATCCGAAAATGCACCCAGATTCTTTTTGGGTTTCATTTTGTTTTGGCGGGAATTTCATCTGTGACCATTCGCGTTTTTTTTTACCTGTTGATTGTGACTGATTCCGTGAAACTCTTTATCAGTCGCGTGAAAACACCCTTTGCAGTGACCGTACCCTTTATTTTTTTACCAACTGTGTTATCGAGTCCCATGAAGGTTACGAATGGCATATTTTCCCTTGAGGAAACGAATCCACCCCAACCAGCCCGCGCTAGAACCTCCTCGCACTCCCCAGCGCATCTGCGCTTCGCATTTTCCGCCTTCTTTCACCCGCCGTCGCATTTTTCCGCGCATTCGCATGCATGACTTTTCTCGTCTTCCAATCAGCCCCCTTCCAGTCCAATAATTCACTTCGCGCGCCCCTCAAGCAATCGCCCCCACACCACCCAAGCATGAAGCTGCATCTTCTTGAGCTCAGCCCTGCCAATAGAGGTCGCAGCTATTCTCGCCAATGTTGAGCTATCACGTGTGAGTCTGCATTGTCCGCATTGTCTTAGTACGCGTTCTGGCAATAAACTAATTTACCTTTGCGGCCATCGTAGCTCCAGGAGCGTGACGAATAGCGCCACGTACCAGTGACGAATTCAAGCAACTTGGGCTCATGCCCAACGCACCACGCGCGCGCCGCGATACGAGCCGTGGTTCTTTCGATTCTAGCCCATATCTTACGCGAATTTCGTAGGTCTTACTGTTGCCACGTGGCACGATGACGGATATTAGCCCAACAGTCTTGATCGATGAGTGGCTGCCCGTTTCCCCGCCAGCAGCCAACGCCACAGCCGCCGCGAGCTACGCAAACGGCTCAATCCAGATTGTCGTTTCTCACCCTGCCGCCCTCGCCAGCGGCCTCTCCTCCTCGCCGGCCAAAGCGGCCGGCAACGGCGGCAGCGGAGCGACGGCGAGAAAGCGCCGCCGTGAGGCCTTGGCGGGTGCCGGCAAGCAGCCGAAGCGGGCGAGGGGGAAGAAGGAGAAGACTCCGCTGACCGAGTCAACCGCCGCAAATGGCGGTGAGCAGAAGCAAGCGGACGCATTCAACGCGAGCGATTCGGATCCTTGCGATCGCCCTGAGAGTGCTCCTGAATCCCCCACTTCCCCCGCCTTCCGGCGCGGCGGACTAGCCGCGCAGTGGAAGCGCGGCGGAATTTCGTCCAGTGGCGGCGGAGAGGATGCGCGCAGCCCCACGGCGCAAACCCCCGTACCGACGAATCTTGAAGCGAGCGCACGCGCCAATCGCGGCGCGAAACAGAAGGCAGATGTTGTTGTCGGGCAGCCTCTGGCGAAGAAGTTGGTGCGGCGATGTTCGCTACTGCCTTCGCCAGCGCCCATTTTTCGCCAAACGCTAGGCGAGCTTTGGAGCCTTCTCGACCCCTCCTCGTTCAGTGCCTCCGAACCTGCTTCCAGCCTCGAACAACCGACCAAGCCCGGCCCGAGCCAGAGCTTCAGCCTCGGGCAGGAAGCAACCACCAGCGAGCCGCCTACCCCGAGCGCACAGAGCTGCTTTCAGCGATGCCCCGCGGACGCGGCGGCTGCGGCGACGGATGCGGAAGGGGCGAATGGCGCGGGATCTGAAAATGGCGCGGGATCTGACATTGGGGCGCGGTCGATCTGCGCGCAGACGAGCGGCGGCTCGGCAGATGCGGAAGAAGGGTCGCTGGACTCAGTGATTGGCGGCGGGAAACGCGGACCATCAAAGACAGCATCCGCGGCAGCGTCCGCCAGAGCGCGCAGCGGGGGGGCCGCCATTACGGCGAGGCAGGTGGCGGTGTTGCGCGAGGCGGTAGCAGCGGCTCACTCGGCGGGAAGGGCGGTCGTCTCGCCCGCGGGGAGCTCCCCTGCGGATGCGGGGGCTTCGAGCGGCTCACAGGGCGGAGGGGACGGCGGGAAGCGGCGCGCACGAAGGCCGTTCTCGCGACAGGGCAGCTCCAACGCGCCGCACGTGGCCGTGCGCGACGGCAAGGCGGCGGGCGCGCGTGGCGCGCTGGGGGAGGACGCGAATGGCGCGGAGGTGGCGCTGGTAGCAGCAACGCCAGATTTCACGGCCTCTGGGCTCCTCCGCGGCCCCTGCTTCCGCCTCTGCTACTGTCCTCCCTCCTGCTGCTGCTAACGTGTCTGCGTCCCATGCTGACGCGTCTGCGTCCCATGCTGATGTGTCTGCATCCCAGGCGGACCTGTCTGCTTGCGAGGGTGGTGCCGCGGTCGCACCCGCCCTTCTCTCTCCCCCCTCCACTCCATCGCCCGCCTCCTCACTCCCTCTCGCCGCTCCTTCACTCCCCTCGCCCATCGCCCCATCTCACCCACGCCCTCACCTGGATGGCAGCAGCAGCAACAGCCTGCTGGCCGAGCTCTCGTTAGAGTCACCCGCTCTTGGCCCTCAGGGCCCCTCGTTTGAATCACAGCTGTGTGGGTCACCCAACTGGAGCGGCTCCCCAGATCTCTCGTTACAGGCACACTCGATGCAGTCACTGTGGCCTGACGAAGGCTCTTCGGACCTCCCACTCGTGCCTCTGGCCTGCGCTGGCGAGCAAGGCTCGGGTGTGTCGCCGAACCTGCTGCCGAACCTGGATTGGCAGATGCCATCAGGGATGGAATCCAGGGAGCAGGTCGAGGTGGACTGGGCTCGCCTGCCGGACCTAGACGAGCTCCCAAACGACTCGCCTCGGTATCCGAACCTGGACGCGAGCCTGGCGCCGAGACTGCCGGCCAGCCTGGATGGGGTGTCAAGCCTGGCATACTGTGGGCAAGGGGGGCTCAGCGAGCAATGGCTGCCAGTGCAGCAACAGCAGCCCGAACCGCAAGGGCAAGAGCAGCAAGAGCAGGGGATGGTTGTGGAGGATGGGGATGGGGATGGAAGAGCGGAAGGCACAGTGGAAGGCGGCATGGAAGGCAATGTGGAGGGCAGAGTGGCGGCAGAGGCTCACGAGGCGGTGGCCAGTGCGGTGCAGAGGGATGCTGTGGGCGGGGGTGAGCGGTGGAGTGCCCATGAAGGGGGGCCTCTGGTAGAGCCCACTCCGCCTCAAGGGCCACCGGTGACCCAGCCCTGCCTTCTGATTGGCCAGCCCCAGCCACTGCAGGCAATGAGCGCGGGGGATGCTGCCAGCGTGGCACCAATGGACTTCGAGGCAGCTGCCAGCGTGGCAGGGCGTGCGGAGCTCTGGCAGGCGCCCCACGCCATGAGCGAGGGGGGCTTGGAGGGGATGGACGGAGAGGAAGGAGGAGTGTGGGAGGAGTTGGAGGTGGTGATGTGCGGTGTTAAGGGAGGGACAGGGGGTGGTGATGACATGGAGGAGGGGCGGGAGGGGGCGAGAAGGGAGTGGGACCTGGCTTCTGCGGTGCGCGAGTGCACGGCAGCCCGCCTCTCCCCCACGCCACCCACCGCCGCCCCCCCTGCTGCCATTGCACCTCCTCTGCCTTGGGCATTCACCGCCCCTCTCGCCTCCCTGCCTGCTGCTGCCGCCTCTCCAAGCGCAACTCCTCATCACCTCGGGGCTGCCACTGCACCTTCACCTGCTGCTGCATCCGTGCATGCTGATGGTATCGCTACTGCTACCACCGTTGCTGCTGCGGCTGCACCCAACGCCACCCAAGCTGCCACCACTGCCTCGTTGCTCCCACCTGCTCCTGCTCCTGCTGCTGAGATCAGCCCTCGCCCCCTTACCTCCTCTGCGCCTCCTCTCGCCTCTCCCTCAATTCCTCTCGACTCGCGCCAAAGCAGCTGGGCAGCAGCGTGCCGGACAGCACACCGCCGCCCAACCAGCAGCAACGCCACCTCTTGTGTCTCTGCTGGCACGGCTGCTGCAGCCGCCACTGCTGCTGACGCCACCGCTGCTGGCACTATCGCCGCTGCTGCCATCCCGTCGCACCTGCCGGGGCGGGCTCTGAGCTGCAGCAGCCTCTCTCTCGCCCACTCTCGCTCTCGCAGCCCCACCCTCCCTCCGCTTGACCGCACCATCAGCAATAGGGCGCCGGCAGCGGCACTGCAGATGCAGTCACAGGGAGCAGCGCACACACCACACAGAGGGCGTGGTGGCAGTGACGGGAATGGCGGGCCGGGAGTGAAGGAGCAGGAGGTGGTGGTGCAGCTGCTATCCCGTGTGGCGACGGTGGATTGGGAGGAGGTGCGGCGGCCCATGTCCCGCGCAGCACAGTCCATCCAGTGCGACTGGGCCCGGCGCCGCCTCAGCTCTGTGAAGCGCTGGGGGGACGTACCCGTTATAAGCCTCCCCGATTCAAGCGTGTCAGATGGCAGTTTGCAGGAAGGTGCGAGCAGGGTGCGGGGTGACGGGGTAGGATGGGGGGGTGGAGGAGGAGTGGGGGCGGCATTGAGTGGAGTTAGTGACGTGTCTGCTGGGGCAGGGTCATGTGTGAAGGGGGCGTGAGGCGCCGTGGAGAAACATTGCAACTTTCAAGTGCATGGGTTGATGTCACTGATAGGGTTCCAACCTTGGTAGGCCACTGGGTTAATAAGGCCCCTTTTGCTTTATCCCTGCACACTTGGCTGTTAGCTGTAGTTTGTTGTACAATAAAGGCAGCTCTACAATATTAATCAGATACCCGCCTGCAAAGAATATCCTAGACCGACTCTTAGAGGAGCAAAGAGCAGGGGAAGACAGCAGTCAGCCACCCCCCCCACAAGCTATGCCCCCCATGCACAAAATTCTGAAACTCAGACGGGATGCGTGCAGTGGAGTGCCGCACTGCTCTACCAGTAACGGCTGTGTTCAAAGCACATGCAGGAAACCTCTAACCCGTGCGTTTACGAGAGAAACAAACGCAGGGCTCATAAACGAGGGGTTGGTACGCGCAGTGACTAAAACGAGGGGGGAATGAGCCTTTGACTCAGCCCGTGCACAACAATGCGCTCCCCCACAAACAGGTTCGGTATAGCCACAGCCGCGGGGATGATGGAGCGCCCCTGTAGCCACACGATCTTCGATCCGCGGCTCGAAAACACCTTCAACTTGCTGCCCTCGGCGGTCGGCAGTAGGCTGTCTTCCCGCAGCGCCTTGAGATCCGCTAAAGTGTAGCGCGCGTCGGGTATAAGGTGGTACTTAAGGATGCGGTTGAAGTGCGGGTAATCGTACCCCACGGCGTCCGCCAGCACGCGGAAGCCGCTCAGCGGAAGGAAGAGCGTCGTGGAGCCTCCTCTCCGCGCGTCCACTGAGGGCGGACAGCGGGACGGGGCCGGGGGGGATGGGGGGGAGGTGAGGGTGGGAAAAGGGGGGAGAGTTTTGATCGGTAAACGGGGAGTGAAGTGGATAGAGAGCGGAACAGAATGCGGAGAGAGGGGGGTAATGCGCGCGGAGCAGGGAGCTGCGGATCATTCTCGTGAGGCGCGGACCAGGGGGCGCAACGGCGCGGGACGGGGCATGCGCGGAGCGGGTAAAGTAATCGCAGCGGATGAAAGATACGCTTTCAACACAAAGCGACGGAGCTCAATTCTAGGTGGGCACGTGGCGGGAAGCCGCTGGCGGGGCGATACGGACAGAGCGCTTGGAGGAACGGCGCGTTGGCCATGGCTGTCCGCGGCGCCTTGACCAGCAACGCCGTCATCGCTCTCGCCTCTTCGACCGCGTCCGCAGAGTTTGTCGTTTCATTGCCGATCGCCCCGGCTTCCGTAGTCTTCGCCACCGATGGCGATAGCCGTCTGCCGCCCTCCGCTCCTCCCCCCGCCAGCACTGAGGGTAATGTCAGCGCAACAAGCATACAAAACGCGAATACCCTCTCGGTGCAACCCATTGCGCCCTTGAATAATGGCTGGTGATTGTAACACTTTGCCTGTTGGGCAAAAGAAACTTCAAAGGCCTTTCTGAAGGTGATCGTGGCTGTCGTCAATCTCAAATGCGCCGACACTGTGACGATTTTAGACGTCTACCTAGCTCGTCTCAATGCACAAGTAACGGACGTGAGAGGTATACCATTCTTCCTTATCGTCACTCATGCACTGTCCGTGGTGTCACAACTGTTGGGTTGGTGAATCGGAGTCTGCCCTACAGCATCTCACTCATCGTCTTATCAGGTCAGATCAGATTGCCTCTGTTGGTCATAGCCTTCGCCACCTAACGTAAGGGAGCGGAGGATGGATGTGGTGAGATGAATTTGGTCGGAACTCGGGGCTCGGGGGTTGGGGGATACGGGAAATGTCCCCACTGGGGCGATTCGTCAAAATAGGCGCTGGGAGGGAGGAGCAATGTCTTGAGGATATGGTGGAGGCGACGGCCAAGGAAAATAATGGACCGTCCGATGACCGTCACGAGGACGCTGATATGGAAATCTCATCGTCCGATCGAGACAGACAGCCCACCATGCGATCATGCAGCCCAGCAACAATGTCGAGAACCACACGTGAAAAGCGACACGAGTGAATTTTCAAGCATGTGCCGCATATGGCGCATCAACTCGATTACAGTGCAGTCGCTTACAAGAACTGAACTATTTGATGTGTAGCAGGAAGATGTCCTTGCAAGTCCGTTATATGTTTGCATCAGTTTCCATCTTGCTGCTACTGCAGTTCGTTATATACCAAGCTTAGTTTGCACTTCAAATGTAGAAATCACTGGCTATTCTCTTCTTCAAATGCAATTCTACAGAGACAAAGGCAATACTCAATGCGTAAGCACCATCCTGCTGATAATTGTCAAATTCCCTGTACAAATACTGCATAGTACATCTCCACAAGCTCTCTGACAGGGCACAGCTAGTGCAAAGCATCATCCCACACCATGTTCGGGAATCCACAAGCTGTGCGTCCTTCTGGGCATTTATAATATCAACAAATTGCTATCACACCCACTGGTGAACTGCTAATGGCAATACCTGTGCAACTCTTTGCCCTGGCTGAGAAGCTTCAGCTTGCGCACAGCCACAGTTTCAAGCTGTCTGATCCTTTCCCTAGAGACTCCATATCTGCAGCAAAAAAAAGAGAGAGCAGGCAGTTCGTACAGAGTACATACATACAGGAGGCGAAAACATCAAAACCCGAGGTCCACAGGTTTCAAAGGTAGGAAGGTTGGTTGGATTTGGTGACAAAACCGAAGGTAGGAAGGTTAGTTGGACCTAGTGACCCAACCAAAGGTAGGAAGGATGAGGCAACTACGAAGAACTTGAGACTCTGGTTTTAAGCACTTACCGCTGGCTGATCACATCAAGAGTCATTGTCCTTCCATCCGTCCTCCCAAATCCAAATCTTAGGCGGATGATGTCCCGTTCTCGAGGATCAAGCTGATCAAGCAGCACATTCTTCACATTGGCCTGAAAGCAGAGCACAGCACATGAGACACCGGAACTTCACAGAAAAAGATTGACAGCAAAGATCACAAGAATCGGTCTCACCTGGAGGAAATCCGCTTCAAGCTCTTTCCAGGGGCGAGTTTCCGCATCTGGATCTGCAATAAACTGAAAAAAGAGATGCCAACGTTTAGAGAGTCATGAACAAAAGAGGACCACGTTCTCCATAAGAATGCACGAGTACTCACGTTGTCCATTGTCGAGCCCTCTTCCATGCGGTTGTTTGGCGACACTTCCTCATTCATGGACCTAGTCTTGTACTTGAGCTGCAATATACCAAACAGAAAGTTCAGACGGTGTACCAGGTCTGCCAATTACTAGAAATGCGTTACGATACACAAGATATTCACTGACCTTGAGGACGTTGTCGATTTTCCGCTCTGACAATCCCAAGGTGTTGGCGAGATTCTGCGTACAGGAAGACGCATTGAAATCAGCTTCAGGTTGGCCTCAAGTGGTTAGCAGCGAATTTGACGTTACATTACTCACCTTGACGTTGGCTAGTTCCCCTTCGCTCGCGAGCTGTGCTTTCGCCCTCCGCAATCTTCCGAGGGTCTCGTGCACATGGACAGGCAGTCTGATCGTGCGGGAGTGGTCCGCAACAGCCCGTGTTACCGCCTGAAACACAGAAGTGGGAAAGAATAAAGTCAGCAAACGCTGGCAATAGCAACTCAAAGGATAAACCAGTGTTCGAAGGTATGGCAACTCTACCTGTCGGATCCACCAGTGAACGTAAGTCGAGAGCTTGTAGCCTCTGTTCGGGTCGAACTTCTCCACACCTTTGGACAGACCCATTGTGCCCGCCTGAAAAGCAAACCGGTCAGCGTAATTTGAAGTGAGATACACTTTTTACTCGAATGAACGAGCAGACGTAGTACGCAATCACCTACCGCAACCAGATCGGAGAGCTCAACCCCACATCTTAGGTACTTCTTCGCCACAGAGACTACGAGTCGCAAGTTTGTCGCAAGCAGCTTATGCCTAGCCAGCTCCCCCTCTCTCAGCTTCCTCCTCAGTGAGTATACCGAGCAGCCTTGTGCCTTCGCCCACTCGGAGTGGGTGGCCTCCCGACCAAGCTCCTCAGACACCCTGAAACATCGAAACGAACGTTCAGCAACGATGCCCACGAGACAGACGACGCGAGGAGAAGAGGTGTCGAGCCCTACCTGGCTCGTAGATTTTGGAGCTCAACAGACTTCTTGACTCTCCTGGACAGCTCAATCTCTTCTTCCCTGGTCAGCAGCTTGGCCTTCCCAATCTCGGTAAGAAACGTCGCAAGAAAGTCGCTCGACGACTCCTTCTCACTAACGTCCCCCTTGCCTTTGCTTTCTAGACCCACACGGAAGACATTAGCATCGGCGGTCTGGTCCTGCAAATCTCGCTTGCGTCTGGCCTGCATACGGCGCTTCCTCGCGGACATGCTTTTGGAAACAACAATGTTTCTGCTAGCCTTCGTGGAACTGCTCGCGTGGAGCGGCTCAGGAACCTTTTCAGAGAGCTCAGGGTCCTTCGAAGGAAGCTCCCATTGTGATTCCAGTAACGAACGTTCAGTCTCCTCTTCACGAAGGTCCTTTGCAAGGGCAGCTTCGTCTACTCCTTCCGGAAACTCGCAGTCCAAAAGGAATTCTCTCCCGTATAACGAATTCTCGAGCATCAAAAGGTCCGAGACTGACGACAGGGGAGAAATGCTAGTAGCCAGCGGACTAGGAAGGGTAGTGACTGCTTTTACTGGCTCTGGACGTTCCTGTTTTCTGCGGAAGTACCCAGCATGTGGAGACTTCGGTGAGCGAAGAGCACAAACAGCACACTGCTTGCACACTTGGGAAGCGGAAGGTGGACACTTGATGGTTAATGGAATGGATGCGCCATGAAGCTCGCTGGTGGAGGATGAAGCAACTACGAGTCCAGCGACTGCAGGAGTAGCCAAAGCGGCAGCCATGGCTGGCAGACGCAGGCACAGACCTTTCGAGCGTGGGGATTGGAGATCCTGTAGGTCGGAGGGGGTGGTCACTTAGGTAAGTCACCCAGCCGACCTAACTGGATGAAAGTCATGCTTACTCTTGCAGTAGAATAAAAGAAACTGTGAGGCTGCCTGGCTTCTCCCTGGGGCTACTGGTGCCCAGAGTGGTGCAACTGGAGGGGAACCAGTTCGGTTGGTTTGGTGAGGCGAAGCATGCACCGTCACTGCTCCGTCATGCTCAAGTGACACTTCGAGATTCCGACGCACCTGAACCGTAGGATGCAGCAGATCGAGAGTAACGGAGCATGGAGACACCTCGACGAATTCTAAGAGGATTGCTTGGAGGTTCTGTGTTTTTATTGGTTGTTCCGATTTCTTCGTGGAAGGCATGAATTCTGAAGCGAATGAGCGACGATGGGGGGATTCGCGACGCGGTTTGGGGGATGTTCATTCCTCATCCCGCATTGGCTCATGTCCAGGTGGCGTACCCCATATGCAGCTGACTAATTAGAAGGCTAGAGCAGAGCAATCTGCTTACAGAAGTGACAATAGTTCAGAAAATTGAACACCAAGTAGTACCTACTATTAACATATATTTTATCCTCACATCTCAACTAACCACACTTTTCTTTTCGTTTCGCGCACCTAGAACATGCGCATTTTCAAATACGAGTTTCATCATAACTGAAGGGGTTTACGGCAAAAAACATGTATAAAACGCGTATCACATTGGGCTCCACTACAATGTCAGAATCGCGAGGTACTCTAAGAGATACAATGCCTCATTGTTGAAATATCGCCATAGTAACGCAAAGGTTCAATCATGCATACATACAAAGGGCATCATTTTGTTATCATTTCGTTATGTCACAAGAGTCGTTACCTACTCCCTGCTTGTTATGAGTTGAAAAAGAGAATGCGCGGCAGGGCAGCATAACGAATAATGGCTGTGACACAATGAACTGACAATACAATGAAGGCACGCGATAATATACTGACTACCCTAGCTAGGAGGGAACCTCAGGAAACCGAGATCGGGTGCAGGTTTGGCGATCGGAAAGCCGAAGGCGACGCGGGGCAGCCTCGGCATCGGAAATGTAGGCCGGACGTGCGAAGTCAAACATGTAGGGGTTGTACGCGTAGCAGTCAGCCCCGGTAAGGAATAAGGAAAAGTTTCTTATGCTGTCCCTTGCATGAGGTTGAATCATATGCAGTGTATGTGGCATGTGCTGTGTTACCACCTGCTTTATGACGCTTCAGTATGAATGTCAAAGAACGAACGCCTGGCGTTCATTGCATTCATGTGAAGTGCCTGCTAAACTAGGAAACCACTGTGCTGCTTCCTGGCAACCTGAGACAGGGAGTCTGCTTCTCCGACTTGATCTCATTCTCCCTCCTGTAGAATGAGTCCCTCTCCTGCTGAATATGTTTCCGCCCTGACCAGGCACCTTCACGTGCTCCATGGTTGCAGCATCTTGCTGATGATCTAAACAGTGATGGTCTTGGTTGAATACACGTCCCCTGCCAGCACTATGGCCTGGTCATTCGCCTGCCCCTCAACAATCACCAGAGGCACAAACTTTTTGGTTACTCTCGTTAAGGAGTGTCAGAATGTTATTATTGTCTAGCCTGTAGTGGGGTGCTCTATAGCGAGTACAACCCAGTTAGGGTTTGCTATATGTACCCCAACTGCTGCTAGTGAAACCCTTCTCCTTTCAATGATTCTTGCCTAGTTCTGTTGACATGCTATCAGAGCAGGTCGACCCCCTTGGGTCGATCCTGTGGGTGGGCCCGCCACCTAACTGCTTCCGCTGCTATTCTGCTTCTCGCACGCCTCGGGCGCGCGCCGTCTTCTTCCTGCCGTGCGCGGAGCGCGCGGCGAAAAATTTTAGGGTTTTTCATCCCGCCGTGCGCTCAGGGCGTACGGCGGTTTTCTGCCCGCCGTGCGCCCCGAGGCGCGCGGCGGTTTCCTGCCCGTCGTGGCGCCCCCGGGGACCTGCGCGCTGCCCCCCGTCGTCCTCCTCCCGTCGCCTCGTCGCGGCGCCCTGGGGGCCCGCGCGTCCCCCCCCTCCCGTCGCCTCGTCGCGGCGCCCTGGGGGCCCGCGCGTCGCCCCCTCCCGTCGCCTCGTCGCGGCACCTTGGGGGCCCGCGCGCCGCCCCCTCCCGTCGCCTCGTCGCGGCGCCTAGGGGGCCCGCGCGCGGCCCCTCCCGTCGCCCGTCGAGCCGCCCTCGGGGGCCCGTGCGCGGCCCCCCTCCCGTCACCCGCCGTGGCGCCCTCGGGGGGCCCGCGCCCTGCTTCTTCGTGGCGCCCAAGAGCCACCCCGCTGCCTCCCTTTCCCTCCGTGCCCCGCCCCTGCTGTTTCCCGCGCTCCTGCCTGCGTTAGGGTTTGGGGGTGGCGGGCATGGGGGTGACCGGTGTGGGTAACCTGCGGCTCCTCCTCCTCCTCCGTCTCCCACTGCTGCAGCTGCCGCTGAGGGGGGTGGGTGTGTGGGAGCCGAGGGTTTAGGGTTTAAGGGGGGTGCCGTGGAAGTGGAGCTAGGGTGTCAGCAGGGGGTGTGTGAGAGGGGCGTGGGACGGTCGGGGGAGGTTGCGTGGAGGTAGCCGTCGTGACGCCAGCAGCGCCAGTAGTCCGGATGCCCTCGCGCGTTTCGGTAGCCCAGCGAGCCTGCTTCGCCAGTCGCCTGTGGGTCCGTTGCTCCTGTGTGTGCTCGTCGTAGCCGCGGAGCCAGATACTCCCGTAGTCCGGTGCCCTCGTGCGCTCGGTAGCCACTGTGCGCGCCGCTCCTGTTGCCCGTGTGTCTGCAGCTTCAGTCGGCGCCTTTCATCTTCTCGCCCTCACAGTTTCTCCTCCTCCTCACTTGCCCTCTATGATCACCTCTAGCTTTGCTTATAATTGTGAACTATTGCTATGCCTGCTCATTGTACTGATTACACCCCACTTTGGCTATGGGGATGTGTCAGAATGTTATTATTGTCTAGCCTGTAGTGGGGTGCTCTATAGCGAGTACAACCCAGTTAGGGTTTGCTATATGTACCCCAACTGCTGCTAGTGAAACCCCTCTCCTTTCAATCATTCTTGCCTAGTTCTGTTGACAAGGAGAGCCCCGATATTGTGCTCAGCGTCTTTCCGTTCTTGAATCCATTCATAATGCCGTAGGTGAACCGGCCTTTCACTATATGATAGGCCATGAGTGGCAAGAGCTGCTGCGATGGGTACTTCTTGATGGTCGTGCAGTAGTCGAGCGCCTCTAGCGGGACCAGCAGCGTGTAGGGCGCGTTGACTGTGGCGTTGACTGTGTTGACCGTGTTGACTGCAGCAACGATGGGGGAAAGAGGGATGACAAACAGGTCAGGGTGAATGAGGAAGGTGTAGCTAGGGCGCGACTCGGAAAGGCATCATGACGCGCGGCTGCTGTCTGAAGCGAGTACGGTGGCGGGAAGCGAGGAGCGTTGCACAGGGCGGATGCAACGAAGGGGTGGACGCATGGAGACCGTTGAACGGAACAGAAGGAACAGGAGCCGTGCGAGGGGGGAAAGGAAATAAGAAAGATTTACTCAAAATCTGCAGATATGGCGCGGCTTGGCTGTACTTCGATAGGAGCAGCGCTTTGACAGCGCTAGCAGCCACTGACGAGGATATCACAGGCGAGCCTCCGCCTCCGCTACCCGGGGCTGGCTTTCTAGCAGCAACGGCAGTTGCCTGCGATACTAGCGACAAGGCAAAGACGGATAGGAGCAAGGAAATCAGGAGGGGAGCGGCGCGACATGCGGAGGGGACGGCCATCACGGATCGCGGATCATAATAGGAAAGCTAAAACTCTGTACGGATATTACTATGCTCCCCGTGGCTATTACCCTAGACGTGTGAACCTCACGAGGCAGACCTACTCTACTGCAAAGTAGTAGTACACAGAAAGTAGGATCATAACTCGTTCGTGGTGGAATTTCGCGGCGACGATATTTGGCAGGGAAGGCATACTCGTCAAGGAGATCTGCTCCATGGTTCTCTATTTCCTGGCTGCACTGGTTGGTGCAGGTCGCACCTGCGCATTCCGCTCCCACAGTGCCAGCTGGTTTGGTTGGTGTGCCCACCAGCGTGGAAGAATTTCCGTAGGTGGCGGCGAAGCATTCCGCGAGTCACCTGTTGTTGTCGGCGGAGGGGCGCTAGGCATGCGATGCGATTCGCCAGGCTGGACTCCCTCCCGTACGCATCATAGGCTTGTTGTGCAAAAGAAGTCTTTACAGTCATACAAGATGGAATTTGTGACCTTCGCACCACAGAATGATAGCTGGTTCAACTCAATCAGGAAAATAGCTTACGGTAGCAGAAGCATCAAGTTGGTAAATTCCAGCAGAGAACGAAATTCTTCACATTTTAGCAAGTTGCCGCGAATGCAACGTTACCACAGCTTCATGCCAACCCCCAAGTGAGAATCAATCCAGATACAATGTGAATTGTGAAAAATGGTGAAGTGTAGACATCAAACTGCAGGACTTGAACAGGCAGCACCCTCTCCCACAACTCCCCTGGTTTCTTCTTCCTCTGGAATATTCCGCCCAGCCTCTTCCACAGTGGCGGATAGCCAGAAAGAAGGGCCGCGTCCGGCAGCAACGGTCCGTTGACCTTGCGAACTGCGTGGCGGCGAAAGAAGGTGCGCATTCTGGCGCCGCGAGGCAGAGCCGTCAACCTATCTTGCGTATAGAGCCCTTTGACGACGTGGAAGGCGAGGAGGCGAAGAAGCGAGCGCGCCTTGAACCCCTTGAGGGAGCGGCAGAGCTGGTTGGGGTTGATTGGTACGAGAATTGTCACGGGGGTCACGGAGAGGTTGAAACCCGACGAGTTCGCCGTCGCCTCCGGCATGGTGCTCACTGGATCAGACACATCAGGGGATCAAGGGTAGAGGGGAGGAAGCAAGTTGGGGATTGAAATATTCTCTAACAGTTTTGCAGAGAAGGAACGAACGTAAGTTAAGATTCTCGAGAGCATGCTGTGGCAAAGCTTTTGCCTGTACTGGTTGTAATTGAGAAACAGGGCGCGTTTGGGCGACTGACGTATGGCTTGCAGCATGGGCGCCGATGAGCTGTACTGGGGGAGGCTCAAGAGCGCGCGCATCGCTTTCCCCGCATGCCGGCCAAAACCCACAGTGGCTACCGCGGTCGGCAGAAGTTTCCCGATGGAACCGAGCAAGAAAAGAAGTGCGAGTCCGAGTCGGCTGGAAGTCATAGTGTACTAGTCAAAGATGGTATTACCGCGAGAACGAGAAGGTGATTAGCGCAGTTACACGCACAGCGCGCACAAGAAATCGCTCGAATGAACCAACATCTGCAGCTGCAGCAGCGCCTCTTTCCATGGCGAGCGCTCGCTGCGCTTTTCGACTAACTCGTAAAGAATCGAGTATCTAGCAAGAGAACATAGCCTCTGACGCAGTGCGCGCTACGGCACAACAAAATGACGAGTTGTGCAGCGAAGAGCTGCTGAAGCAGCAACAACGGTGGGCGTGGATTGCCTGTTTCCACCGTCCACCACTTCATTGGATGCGAAACGATGAGCTTCAATGCTCCGCTAAACGAGAATAAAATGTCGCGAGCATGATCTTGTTGTGGGACTTCTTTGTCAATAATTGAATTAGTTACAGAAAAAGGCAATAGGGGTTAGGGACCAGGCTATATTTAAGTTTTATCAATCTTGCCCGAACCACACTTTCTTCCTTGAGCCTACACTAGGGGTGGAGCCCTCAACAACCGGCCTCCGGGACTTGGCGTTATTGTGGCCGTGATGATGCACTGGGCCTGGAACAGAGGCGCTCGTAGGGAAGCGTCGTCTCGCATTAACCGGGGAAGAGGGAGAAACAATTGTCGGGTTTGGCACCGACTGAACTGAGTGCAGCGAGCTCTGATGCCTGTGACCAGGCAACTGGGAAGCCGAGGGAGCTCTATTGACAGATGTCATGTTGGAGCCATGGCCTCTGGAAGGGGAAGCTCCACCTTCGGGTGACCCGCCACCGTTCTTGCCCGTGCTAGCCGGGCTGCCTGAAGCGGCTGCCATGCACTTGACCCTCATGCGCAGCCCCTCGGTCTGCCTGAGCTCCGCCTCCCTCTGTGCGCTGAGCCCCTCCAGCATCGCCCACAGCTCCTGGTTCTCCCTCTCCACCGCTGCCACCCGCCCCACCACTGCCGCATGCTCCTCTATTGTCACGCCCGCGTTAGTCACATCCGCCCTAGGCGTGGCGGCTCTGGGCGTGGGCGCCATCCAGGTGTGCAGGGCGGCCTCCATCTCCTGCGCCAGCGCGTCCCGCTCCCCCTGCGCCACCTTCAGCGCCTCCTCTGCGCGCTGCACCTCCCCCGACCGCACCTGCAGCATCTCCCTCAGCTGCGCGTTGTGGCGCGTCAGCTCCTCCACCTGCCGCGTCAGCCCGTCCACCTGCCGCGTCAGCATCTCCTGCGCTTTGCAGCAGTCGCCGTGTGCATTATGCTCCCTCGCGTCACTTCCCCGAACCTCCTTCAAACCTGCCCGTTTCGGCTCCCCTGCGTCCGCCCTCGGGCTCCCCGAGCCGCCCTCTCTGGGCGTCATGCTTTTGTCGTTTTCTGCAATCAGTCTGTCGCACACCGCCCAAACCCCCGCCTCTTTCCCCTTCCTTCGGCGCTCGTCTCCCACTGTCTGCCGCCCGAGCCCGCTGCTCAGTCTCCTGCCACCGCTGCCACACCTCCCCGCGGCCGTCACGGGGCGCTCCGGCCTGTCGGACAGCGACTTCTCGAGCACGTTGCGCCGCAGATCGCCCACCCTGCCTGCTTCTCCCTGTGCCGCGCGCGCTGCTCCGGAGGAATGCTCAGCGCGTCCCGACTCTCCGTGCCGCCACAAGTCCAGCGGACTGATCAGCCCCGGAGAGGTGCATTCAGCGCCGCGCCTGCAGCCTTCGATGCGACCGCTCGAGCGAGGCCGCTCAGCTTGAGCCGAGAATGACCTTCCTGACAGCTTCCTACGCGGGACTTGTTCTGCGGGATATTCAGAGCTGGAAACTCCAGGCGGCGTGGCGCAACGTGGAGATTCCAACATTTCCCGCGGCGACTCCGATCGAGCGCGCTGCACTGCGGAATGCGGGTCCGAGTCGGTTCTGTAAGTGGTTCGCGAATTCGGTGGACTGACCGCATCGGGTTGCGTCCGTGAGGCGGAATCAATCATACGAAGCTGCGCGGGGTTCGAAGAGTCGAGGCGATTCACTCGAGCAGCTGGGGAGCGCGGAGTGCGAGACAAACGCGGGGAAGGGGACGATCCCGAAGGGCCTTCCCACGACATCGATTGCGGCACGGGCCCCGCTGGCCGCGCCGTGTTGCTCGACCTCGTGCCCGTCCTCCTCCCGCCAGCCGCCGCGCTGTGCGGACGCGGCTCGTCCACGACGGTTTCGCCTGTAAGGAGCCGCACCGCCAAATGCCGCGCCGCTCCCGACGCCATGATCGCGTCCACGGCGTTGGTGCTGGCTCCCGATGATATACGCGATAAAAGCTCGTCGATTTCGTATTGCGTGAACTGCTGACGGGGGTCGGCGGCTACCCTGACAGACACCATGCTGCGATTGATCGCTACTGGTGGTCGCTGGCTAATTCCGTATCGTGTTTTGATTCTATTTCAGCGTGAACGCATGAAGAACTGTCTACGCCGGCCCATACACCTATTGCACATAGGAGTCTAAGGTTGACCCGCGAGGCGGTTGAGAAGCGAGAGGCCTTTCTCGTCAAGCTACTGTAACCAGAAACAACTGCAGTTCAGATGTTGGTTGCGTTTTGAGGGAAACTGGTGGTCTTGCGGTGGGAGGACGAGCGACGAGATGAGTGGGGTGAGGGAGTGAAAGGTTCATTCAACTGGCAGCGTCTGCGGGTGCACTGCCGAACAACCTATGTATGTACGGACCGAGCTGAAGCTTGCAGATCGTTCCCCAAACCAAACGAACCCCCCTCCACCGTTCTTCTCGGCTTGGCCGCCTTCCTCCCCTTCCCTTCCCCATGGCCCTCGCTGGCGGGCTCGTTGCTTGGGCCAGTGTACAGAAGGCAGTTGGAAACGAACAGAAGCGCCGAGAACGGATGGCCAGGGCGTGTGCGAGGTGTGGCCCCTCCAGCCAGAACCAGCTGGCAGTTCGCTAAACGACAGATGTCGTGTTTTGTTCAATCCCAAACCGCTGAAGGAAGTCGCCCCACATCGGACCGTTCAAAAGCTGTCAACCTCTGTAGAGGCGCAAAGGTTGGTTGGGTTGCCCCCGAAAGGATGTGGGTTCGAGTAGGACCCCTCATGCTTGCCCAGCCTGTCAGCCTCCACGAGAGCTGCTCCAAGTGCCTCACCGACCCAGCGAGGGTCTGCACAATTGCGGAGCTGACCAAGAAAAGGGGGCACCTGCAGCTGTCAAAAAAATTGGTTTGTTGTTGCTTTGTATTGACAGCTCCGATAGAAGCCAGCTGCCAGGCAGTTCACGAACAGAAAGGAACAGAACAGAGCCTGGAGAAAATATATTGTTCAAAACATATTGAAACATTTTAATATGTACAAACCACACTCAAATTCACACAATCACATCAGAAACACACAAATAAGAACACGATATAATTATCAGCGTAACTCAACTCCCCCAATTGCACCTCTCCCTCCCTCCCTCCCTCCCTCCCCACCTCTCCCTTCTCTCCTTCCGCACTCCCTCCCCCATTCCACCTCACTCTCTCTGCTACTTGCTCCTCTCCCTTCCCCTCCATTACCCACCTTTCTGCCTCACAATCATTTTATCTACACGTCTGCATCCGCTCACCCTTTTTATCAGTGCTTTCTTCTCCCAGAGAGCACACAATCCAATCTGCGACCCCCTTGCGTCGCCTAAACAGTTGCAACCACATGCTGCCTGTGGTGCTGCTGCCACCATGCCGCCCACACCTTCACTGCCGCCACCAGCAGCAGCACTGTAGCTGCTGGAAGATTCCACAGCAGCCTGCTCTGGCCCACCCCACTGCTGCCGCCCGGCACGCGTCCCACCAGACCTGCGAGAGAGGCTAGGAACTGAACCAGGCCTGCCAGCACGACACCAGTGATGGCGGTGACGGCAATAGAGGCAGCTGAGGAGGGAGGTGCAGGGGAGGATGGCGAGGGGGGAGCACGGTGGGCTGACAGGGCTGTTGCTGCAGACACTGGTACAGCTGGTGGGGGTGGGGTTGGTGGAGAAGGGGAAGGGGTGGGAGGCAGGATGGGCTTGGCCAGGCCAAGGACACATGGCAGGGAGGGCAGGGAGCGGTGGTGGTGGAGGGCAGAGGCAGGCAGGTCGATGGCGTGGTTGATTGCAGCGACCGTGTGGTGTGCTGATATGGCTAGCCACTTTGCCACGTGGTCCACTCTGATTGAAAGATGAAAAAACAGGGGAACGTGGGAAAGGTCGGTTGTGAGGCAGCATTAACACGAGTGTACACGGGGTGGGGCAGCACTCACGGGGTGAGGCGGAGGGGCAGCACTCACGGGGTGAGGCGGAGGGGCAGCACTCACGGGGTGAGGCCGAGGGGCAGCACTCACGGGGTGAGGCGGAGGGGCAGCACTCACGGGGTGAGGCGGAGGGGCAGCACTCACGGTGTGAGGCGGAGGGGCAGCACTCACGGGGTGAGGCGGAGGGGCAGCACTCACGGGGTGAGGTGGAGGGGCAGCACTCACGGGGTGAGGCGGAGGGGCAGCACTCACGGTGTGAGGCGGAGGGGCAGTCCCACGATCTCCTCAATGAGCGCGTCGGGCACCTCGCGACTGAACTCGCTCGTGCACGCCGTCACGAACGCCACCACCCCCGCGTCCGCCCGCACCTCCGCCGCGCCCCTCCCTGGCTGCGCAGCCCCACCTTCCCTGACCGCTACGCTGCTGTTCCCATTAGCGTGTGCTATTGCGGCGGCAGGGCCGAGAGCGCGCGCGGTGGGCGCGAGGGGGTCGGGCAGGGGGGCGAAGCGCAGGATGACGCTGCCGTCGCGCTGCACTGGCGGGGGAAAGAGGTGGCGAGGAGCGCGTGTGGCGGGGAGGGGGAGAAGGGAAGTTTTGGGTAGGGAAGTAGGGGGACACGAGGCGGACAGGGGCGGTTGGTTGCGGCATGGAGAGCGCAAGGCAGTGAAGACAGCGATAGGCTTCCCTTGTCTTACTGACTGACAGTGACCGTGCACGCAATAATTCACACGCCATTGCGGCCATTGGTGCCATTTCTCTCAAGGGCCCCTTTCCCCATTTACACGCTCTTCACCGCCATCCCTGCTCCTCTCTCCCCCATTCCCGCGCCCCTCACCGCTATCCCCGCGCCCCTCACCGCTATCCCCGCGCCCCTCACCGCTATCCACGCACCCCTCACCGCCCTCCCCGCACCCCTCACCGTCAGCAGCATGCAGAATTACGGGCCCTGTTGTTCTCTTCCTCCGCACCGTCGTCATCACTGTCGTCGTCGTCGTCGCCGTTGCCGTCGCCGTCGTCGCCATCGTCGCTGAGGCGACCATCTCCCGCGATGCAGCTTCTTCCTCACTTTTCGACGCACTTTCTACGCGACCCGATGCACTCTGCGTCGAGCCGCCCGCCGAAGTGTCGAGATTCACTGCTAAGTGGCCCTCTCCTTTGTCTTGCTCGATGCCACGTGGAAGCACAGTGGGAATTGCAACGCTCGGCAGGGCCGCGCTGGCCGCAGATTGCGCCTCCACGGTCGCAGCGGCGCCTGCAGCAATGGCGGCGTGGACGCGGCCCGCGGAAGCGGAAGGACTAGAGGGAGGCGGGGACGCAGAGCGAATGGCGGCTCGGGCGATGACTGCTTTACGCGTACGCGCTGCGAGCAGTCGAGCGTACCGCCTAGCGCGGCAGCTCCGCTGCTGGTGACAGCCGCACCGCGAAGAGCTGCTGACACCGCGCTCGCCAATTCCGCCCCCAAAGCCGTGCGGAAAAAGAGCCGCGCTGCAAGGAGAGAAATAGAAGGCTGCAGCCGCGGCAGGTGCGTCGTGAATCCGCATCACTGCGGAGAGGGCGGCGAGGGCGGAGGGCGCGCCGGCCGCGAGTAGACGCGATGAGGGCATGGCTGCGACAAGGAAGTGAAAGCGTTCGGACTAGAACTTTAGAAACGATGCTTGCACTGATGTTATTGAAGTTTGGTAGTTACTGCTGTACATATGAAACAAAGTTCGGGAAACTACGGTTGAGCTTATGCAGTCCAGCAGGCTTTTGCGGCTAAACACGAAAGCGAGGAGAAGACATGCAATGGCGGAGAGAACAGCCAAACAACCCCAGCACACCAATAAACGAATGAATGTGGAGCTTCCTTCGCGGCAAGAGCGATAAGGTCAGTTTAAAAGGGTTACAGAAAGACGTCGCGCGGTGTGATGAGGTTCGGTGTGGTTAGAAAGAGGGGCTGTTTCGCTATTCACCGACGACTGGCCTTTGATTGGTTCGGTTTGGATGTCGTCGTCGCGCTCTTCGGGCTGCCGCGCGTCGGGGAAGCACCTGAACTGCCCTCGCTGTTAGGATCGCACGTGCGAGCTGTGAATGAGATTCGACGCGGAATCCAGAAATGCAAAGGATGAGGGTCCATGTTCATGATTCGTTGTCGGTCGTAATAACGAAACAGATACAGATAAACAACGCGTTACGTAAAGGCAACACACGAATAAAATGAAATGAGGCAATTATACTAAACAAGCAACAACACAAGCAACCAACAAACCAAGACACACAAAGCTTTCTTGTACCCACTTCCATTGTGCTCGTCTCATCTTACTGCAACAGCATGCGGAGTGAATGATTGGGTGTGAGGTATTCATGCGGCAATGGTTCATTAGTGGATGGCGATGTGTCATGAGTCTTGAGCCACTCCTCTATGCTGCTGCGCTCGTATGTGAAACCGTCTGCTGCTACCACTGGGTCGGTCATACGCATCTGGAAGAGGGGGGGAACGAAACAAGGGGGAAAGAGAAAGTGTTTGAGGGATTTTGGAAAATGGGAGGAGGGTCACAGCAGGCAAGGGGAAAGCGAACAGGGGAGAGAAAGGAAAATCAAGGATAGGAGCACAGGTGGCAAGGGCCAAGGATTCATAGCAGCACATACGTGCGAGAGCGGGCACACAAACTGGTCCTCAATGCTCTGCTGCCGCTGCCTCTCCCCCGCCTCCATCTCCTCCACCAGCCCATGCAGCGCCGGCTGCAGCTCGCCCGCCAGATCCGGGCGGCACGCCCGCTGCCGGGCGGCACACCGCAGGCCCCACTCTGCCAGCTGGCAAGCAACTGACAGCGGCCACTCGCCGCCCGACACGTCCAGGTGCTCTGACACCAGCGCTGCCACGGCCTGCACCATGGGGCTGCCGCCGCTGCTGCTGCTGTCGACAGCACCTCCCTGCTCCCAGTAGCGGTCGAGGGCGTCCTGGAATGGCTTGATGCGCTTGTGCAGACTCTTGATGCCCGGCTCCCCCGTCAGCAGCTGCAGCATGATGAGCCCCAGCGCATACACGTCGGACAGCACGCTGATCTCAAAGGTGAGCACCTCCTCGGGGTCGATGTACCCCACGGTGCCGCGCACCCGCGTGGTGGTGGAGTCGTCCTCCGCAATGAGCCGCGCCAGCCCCACGTCCGCCAGCTTGCACCCGCGGTTGCCGTCCAGCAGCACATTGTCGGGCTTGAGGTCGCGGTGGGCGATGGGCGGGTCGTGGTGGTGCAGAAACAGCAGCGCCGACGCCACCTCCGACGCCACCCGCACGCGCTCCACTACAGACAAAGGCCGCCGCCCGGCCGTGGGCTTGAGGTGGTCCTGCAGGGAGCCACCTGGCAGGTACTCGTAGACGAGACACATGGCGTCGGGGCAGTGGCCCATGAGCAGCACGATGTGCGGGTGGCGCATGCGACTCAGCACCTCCACCTCCGTCATGTACTCATCCGGGCCCTGCCAGCTCGTGCCCTCCAGCCGCTTCACTGCCACGTCACACCCCATCACCCGCCCCCTGTACACCTGGCAAGTGGGAGAGCATCAAGACGCAGGGAAGGCGACAATGGGTGTTCTCGTGTGAGCACCAACTATTTTTTCATCCTCAAACAAAACATTCAAAAGTTCTGCCACTTTTCATCTCGAGTTTTCCTTTTTCCTCCTCCAACCTTACTCCTCCTCTTCCTCCTCCTCCGCCTTCCAGCTGAGCTTACCGTGCCGAAAGCACCCTTGCCGAGTTGATTCTCCGGACTCCAGTTGTCCGTTGCCCTCGCCAGCTGCTCCTGCGTGAACAGACGGCAATCACCTCCTGGCCCCGCCCCCCCTCCGCCCATCACACTGCCCGCATCACTCTCTGCCACCACGGACCCTCCCCACACCCCACTGCTGCCAGGAGGAAAGCCAGAAGTTGGGTAGCGAGAGCGGAAAGGAAGGGAGAGAGAGGTGGAGGAGTAGATGGAAAAGTCGGCGCTTAGGTAAGCACCGGAATCTGCAGGGTCGTTGGTGGAGTATTTAGGTTGGTGAGTGAACTGGTTGCTTTGGGGGTATTCGCACGACGGGTTGAAGGCTAGGTTCTGAAACGGTTTGCATAGGTGGGGGAAAACGGCACGGAAAGGAGAAGGGGGAGGAATGGGGAAGAGGGGTACATTGGTGGGAAAGAGAAGAATGGGAGGGGGAAGACATAAGAACTAATTGGGCCATACTGCACTGCAATGCGGCAAAGTGTGCAATGTATTGAATGAAAAAGGCAGTGGGGCGTGGTAGATACGATGATACAGGTTTTGCAGCAAAAATGGTGCTTGCTTTACATAATCCGGGAACATGTGCACAGCACTGTAATTTTCTCAGTGTTTTTAATATCCTGTACTTTGCTGTACCCGAAAGCCCAGTGAAGTGAAGTTGGTCCCTGAATTGTGTAGTGCGATCCGTGTTGAGTGGTGCAGTGATGCGCGACACAATCGGAGTCGCTGCATCCAGTAGCACGCCTTGTTCTCTGTTTGCCCAGGTCCCCCAACCCATACCCCCTCGAATTCCCGCCGTTTCCCCATCCAAATCCCCCCTCTTCCCCCACCTCGTTTCCAACCCCCAATTCCCGCCACCCCCCTCCCATGCGCACCCAGCTTTCGTCGGAGTTGGGTTGCTGGGAGCTCCGCAGAGGCGCGTCGTCGCGCGCGCCAACGTTGCCCCCGTCAAGCGCCGCCAGCTCCTCCTTCAGCGACAGCGCGCTCTGATGGCTCCCGCCGCCGCTTCGCCCGTCGGATTCCCGCTCCCCCGGGTAGTACTCGCCGCCGTTCCGCCAGCTTGCTTCTCTACCAATGCCATCCGCGCAACCTGCTCCGCGCATTGCGCCGGGCGTATTGCCATAAATTTCGCGGTTCCTCTGCTCGTCATACGACCTTGACGCGAAAACGCCCTGTCCTGGCCGCATGCCGCCCACGCCCGCCATTTCGCGGAGCTCGCCCGCCACATTCGCGTCCCGCGCGCCCATCGCCCCCGCGCCCATGCGCGCAGTACCCCCGTCCAGACTCCGCCTGCCCCTGCCCGGGTCGCTGCCGAACTGATGCCCCGGCCATTCCGCCCCGCTACCCCCTCCGCCCGCTGCATACATCTGCGGTGACCCGCCCATGCGACCTGCGCCAACGCCTCCGTATTCCGGAGGGGAGACGCGAACCCGGCCGTCGAAGCGCTGCGGGCTGGAATTATACGCCCCGAAATCGCCGCGGCCGCCGTAGCCGTCGAAAGACGGCGCGGCTGCGACTGCCGGGGCATACTCGGCGTTGGGGAACGCGGGGTCGAGGCGGCGGAGATGCGGAGGTGCCTGTGGAAGGGGATGGAGAAAAGGCGGGGGGGGAAACGAAAGAAGTAGGAGAGGGAAGCGGAAGTTGTGGAGGGGGAAGAGAGGGGGAGCAGCTCTGGTGGCGGATCATTCGCGGGCGAGGAAGAAGAGGTCTCGGCGGAACGATGCTGCGAGCGACGAGAGGCGTGCGGGTGGGGAGAACGCAAGGCGGCCAGCGCTCACTCACCTGCGGGGCGCTGCCGCGGAAGCTGCTGGCGGAAAGCGGAAAAGCCTGCGACGCGTCGAAGTCGTCGTCGTTGCCCTTCCTTATCGTCACGCCCTCCGCCAGGTGCAGCGCGGGGGCTGGCGGAGCTTGAGAGCCGCACGGGCGGGGCGGATGGGGCGGAGGGCGGTAGGCGATGGGGACGTGGCGCGACTGGTCCTCGTCGTCGCCGCTGCGGATGACCACCGCCGCCCGCGCCGACCCCCACCCGCCAATGGGAGGCGTCATCGTGTCCGCGCCGAAAGAAGGACCCGAAAACCCTTGCTCGGGCGAGAAACTTTCCCCGAAAACGGACGGCGTTGGGCGCATGTGTGGTGGTGGCGCCATGTCTGGGGCGCCATTGAATGCGCCTCGGCTTCCTGGCAGCATCGCTTGATGCTCACTATCGTGAGAGCGGTGCAGTCCGGTGGTAGAGTTAGGCGGGCGGCAACGGTACGCGGAGTCGTAGGGGTCGGAGAAGCGGTCGACAGGCAGCGACGAGGGGCCGACGCTGAGACTCATGACTCCACCGCAGCTTCTGGCGCGCGTGCATTCGGAGACTGCTTCACGAACCGCAAGCCAGCGTATCCGCGTTCTAAGCGTGCTGTTGGTGGTGCTCGTCGGCTGACCGATGTGCTCTTGGTTTCCGAATGGATGTCACTTGTGCATGACTGCGGAGCAAACCAAGGTTAGTGGAATGACGAGGTTGGGTGGGTTTGGTGGGGGACGTGGGTGGTGGGAGGGAGCAGGAAGGAAAAGGGGATTGGAGAGGACGGGGAAATGGGGGTGCATTGGGTGTTTGCAGTGTTCTATGTAACTGTACCGGTAGGCACAGTGGCATTCAATGCACTTTTTGCCACGTCATAACCGCGTCCAACATTCCTATCGACCTTGCAGCGCGTAGCGCACGAGGGAGGGAGTGAGGTGGTGTAACGGGAGTGTGTGGCAGGGATGTGAGGCTGCAAAGAGCGCGTTGCAATTGGCTAAGATGCGAAGAGCTGTTATTGTTACTAAATTTGCGAATGATGAAGGCTAGCGAACAATATTCGCGATCTGGAAAGGGTGCAGAGTGCAGGTTGGATTGGATGCGACGAGCACAGCGCAGCAAACAACGACCCGACAGTGGGGACAGCGGTGATTCGTAACGAATCAGCATCGAGAAAATGGGACAGCTCACTGGCGACGCGACTTTTTGTTCTTGTTCACCGCACGGGCAGTACTGTCGCAACAGCTGATTGGGATTACATTACAGAACAATAGGATAAAAAAGAAAAAGAGTTTTTACTGCACAAAAAAGCAGCCGCAATCATACTAATTGCACTGAATCATCAATTATCGAGTACAGAGACCAACCTTCACCTCCCTCCATGCTGTCTCCATGCCAGCCTCACACAGATAAATGCGACCCGTCTGTTGCGCCGACCAGGCCAAAGGCCTTGCGTGCATAGATTATCTCCGCTTCGTACGCTGTATTCCGCAACACTCGCCCGCCGCGTCCCTGCTCGCGGGGGTTCGCTCCGCGCCTCCACGCCATGGGCCCTCCTCCCTTCCACTGCGCTGCCGCCGCTTTCATTGCCGCCTGCTGCTGCCTCTGCTTCCCCTCCGCTGCTGCGCAAGCAGGCGCATCTAGCGGCGGTGAGACCGGCGCGGGGCATGGGGAGCAAGGCCTGACGTGGCACGAGGTGAGGCTCAAGTCAAGCGCGCGTAAGCGTGGCGCGGAACCGCCTTGTCCAGCAACAGAGTGCGCCATCGCGCATCGCTCTCGCCCTGCACGCCGCTCCAGCGCCCGTGCCGTCGCGTCTCCGCCGTCTCCTCCTCTTCTTCCTCCTGCCTCTGCCACTCCCCTCCCCATTTTCTTCCTCCACTGCCCTTTTCTCCCCATCTTCCCCCGTTTTCCCACTCCCCGCCCCGCCATATTTCCCCTCTCCTCCCATCCTCCCCGCGCGCAGGCGTGGCAGGCGGCGTACGAGTTGACGCCGGCCTCCTTCTTGCCGCCCCTCTCCGTCACCCTGCCGCCCGGCGTGCCGCCCGCGCCGCACCTGGAGGACTGCACGGCGCGCACGGCGGCCAGGGCGCGCGCAGAGGCGCAGGGGGATGGGGGGGACGCACCCCCATGGTCCGCGCCCTCCCAGTGCTGCGGTTGCTCCCCCCAACCGCCCTGGGTAGGTGCAGGTGTGAGTGCTGGGGCAGTGCAATGGGGTGGAATGAGGTGTGATGTGTGAAGGCATGGTATCCGATCCATGCCTACCCAGCCACTCCGCTGCCCCTCCATCTCTTTGCCTCGCCACAGCGCGTCCTCCTACTTGCCTTGTGCCGTGTCCCGTATGAATCCTGTCTTCCAATCTCCTATATGCGCCATGTGCCGTGTGCCACGTTCTGTGTTCTGCGTGCTGCGTGCTGTGAAGGTACGAGGTGACGACGCGTCCAATCTCCCACTGACACGTGTCGCTCAAACGCACATCTGGCAGCACCAATTCCCCCCTTCATGCGACCACCGCCGCCTGCTGCTTGCTGATTGGCCTCATCTGAATGCTGACGTGGCAGCAGACGGGGCAGGGGAGGCGGAGGGGGGAGGTGGCATGGGGGCCATGGAGGGGGTGGCGGGGGAGGTGCATGTGGTGGGGGGCGTGCTGGGGCTGGCAGTGCTGTTCAACCGCACACTCGTTGTCACACCCGGCTCCTTCCCCCATGCCAACCACTCCGCTTGCTCTGGTGCGCCACACCACTGTCATGCCATGCCATGCCATGCCATGCCATGCCATGCCATGCCATGCCATGCCACGCCATGCCATGCCATGGACCGGGCTCTCATTCATGCACTATCCACCCATCCTCTTCGCACCCAGCCCCCTCAACCCCATCCCCTTCCCTACCACCCACTGTCCTGTCTCCCCTGCCCACCACAGCCACACCCGGGTCGCTGGCCTGTTTCTTCGCCCCCCTCACTGGCCCTCTCTGCGAGCAGGCAGCAGCACACGCCATGGCCGCCCACCCGCCCGTGCCCGCCCTCGCATGCGCCGCCACCCAGGAGGCCGCTCAGGGCTCTCCCCAGGGCTTGGAAGAGCTGGAAACCCTGCTGACGTCAGCAGATCTGGTGGTGCGTGTCTGCACTGGGGCGTTGAGCCGACACCAACTGCTGCTGCTGGCCAACGAATCACGCGTCGCCACGTAAGCATGTGCTGGTCTGAATGAAGTGGCACCAGTCCCTTGCAATGTCAGCTGGCTGTGCTCACTTGAGCACGGTGCTGCACTGCACACGGCCCTCATTCCACGTGCCCACCCGCCTTCTCTCCCATCCCCAACACTCCATTCCTCTTGCTCTGCCTCTGCCCCCATCCTCCCTGTGCTACCGGGGTGCCAGGCAGTGGGGCGCAGCAGTGAGCGAGGCATCCCAGTCAGTGGAGGTAGCGGGGGTGGTGCCGCCACGTGACGTGCAGAGGGAGCAGGTACGCCATGCCCGTCACTGCACGCATCATCACCTTACATGCTGTCACCTCTCTCATTGCTCTCAGTCAATGGCTCATTCCGCCCGCTCGCTCCTGCATCCCTTTCCCCGCCCATCCCGTTTCACCTCCCTTCAGTTGCACTGGTGGCGATCGCAGGCCGTCCGATTCCTCTTCCGCTGGCCATCTGCCCACCTCTGCCACGTCACCAACCTGATGCGCCACATCAGCTACGGCCGTTACATTGCTGCTCAGATGCACTCAGCCGCCCAGCAGCAGGCTGCCATCATCCGCTCTCTCTCTGCTGGCCCATCTGAGGCTGACAAGGGCATTGGAATTGACACGATTGCCGAAGCTAAATTCCTAGCCTCGGTAGACATCAGGTCCGGGCCGAGTCTGGAGGGTCGGCTGTGGCCAGCATTAGGGTTTGAAGGATGCGTGAAGGTGAAGGAGGGGTCGTGGGGAGGGAATGTGATTATAGACGAGGTGTACGAGGGAGTGGGGAGGGAGGCGTACATCATGCGGCCCATAGTGAGTGTGCATGTGAGTGTGGGGAGCAGTGGCGCAGCTGCAGGAGCAGCAGGGGAGGCGGTGGGTGCTGCAGGCAGTGCTGATCCCAACACTATGCTGCCGGCAGCATCACCCCAACGACCGGACGTCCCTGCATTCATGTTCTTGGCCCATCGTCTGAGGCGCCACGTGCCGCACTTGCGTCACGCCTGGTTGACAGCCAGTGTGCCGGTACGTGCCCACTCTCCTCCCTGCCGCCCTGCCTCTGCTTGTGTGCCATGCCATGTGACATGTGACACCACCTTGGTCCACTCATTGTCCACTGTTCATGCTTCCTGACACGCGTACTCTTACTATCTCGCATGCTTCCATGGCAGGAAGTGAGCAATGAGCTCTCGGAGCATCGTGACTGGACGTTCCATAGTGCTGGAGGGAGCATGGGTGTGCATGATGGACAATCACCCCCTTCTGGCTTGGAAGGCAGCCTGGGTAGTGCCATGGGTGTGACAGCAAGCATGCTCTCCCAGCTCCTCATTGCCTCTGAATGTGATTATTTCGTGGGTGCCCTTAGTTCTTCCAGTGCGAAGCTGCTGAACGAGCTTAGAAGCACAAATGGGAGGCTGCAGTCTGGATTCATTTCCTTGGACCAATAAAGAGCCTTTGGACAGTGCACTAGAGAAATTTCTAGTTCTTGGTCATCGATGCAAAATGGAGGCATCCATGCTCCGTGGCTCCTAAACATATAAATCAGGTCACATGCTAGCTGGTGTATGGCCAAAAGTGATACTACGGTACAGTCAATGCAGGACATGTTTCAGGAACAGTTGGGTGTTGAAAGGACGTTGAGCATCCGAACTTGGATGGCCAACCAGCAGCGAACACCCGACCGAGAACACACTCAGCGTACGCTGCTGGACAGCTCAAGTTACTCGACAGGAGCAGCGACTGCTGGAAGAAAAATTCGAGAAAAGAAGGGAAAGGATGGGGAAAAAGGGTCATCTCATGGTTGTAGAATTGAACAATGGCGGCACGATGGACTGGAGGTCAGCACATACCGAAGACATCATGAGCCACTGGGTGGACGGTGGCCTCATCTGCTTGAGGCGTGACACCTGGAGGGGCCTCATCCTCCTCCATGGGGTACTCTGCAGGGGGCATCTGGTAATGCTCTGGAGGCGCATACCCTTCGGCATGCATGAGGTACGGGTCTGGCTGCTGCTGGTAGTATTGCTGCTCAAGCTGCTGCTGCTGCTGGTAATGGGCCGCATACATAGCTCTTCTCTCAGCCTCCTCTGCTGCCATCTGCTGCTGGAACAACTGGTGCTGCAGCTGCTCCTCCTGCTGACGCTGATGAATCTGCTTCTGAATGTGCTCCATAAGCTCCTGCTGCCGTTGCTGTATCTGTTCCTGCTTTGCCTTGTCACTTTCCTGTTTAGCAGCACCCTGTGCAGCACCCTTGTCACTTTCCTGTTTCTTTGACGCTAGAGACACATCCTCCTCCTCGGACTGCTCAATCTGCAGCTGCTGATCCTGCTGTTCCACTTTCTCCTCTGCCTTGACCTTCCCCTGCTTCGTCTTGTCTAGTAATGGTATCTTTACAATGCTTGACTGAGCAGGAACCTGCACGATAGAAAAAAAATGTTGAGATTACAAAAAAAATATCACCACAACCAGCATAAAGAGGTAGACAGACACTTACAGTGAGCTCCGGTTTGCGGGCAAGCGACTCCTTCTCCTCCCTCAGCCACTTCAGCTGGGAGGGGGCATCCTGGACCTTCTGGCGCTCAGATGTCTTCAGGAGCTTGTCGCTATCTGCATTCCTGCTCTGCTTGCCCTTTCCAGAGTCCTCAGCCAGCTTAGCCTGTTTCTCTCCGTCCTTTTCCTGCCCGGTTTGACGCTTCCCGCGCTTGTCACTTTCACGAAACTTCATGACAATGCCCTTGCCAGATGCTTTAGCCTCTGCTGCGTCAGCAACAGGCTGCTCGCCAGCCTCATCATCATCAGGAGCAGCCCTGGGTCTGGGTGGCTTGAAATCTTCATCCTCCTGATAAACACCCCGATCACCTGGACCATTCATCTCCTCGTCTTTGTAGTCCCTGTCTCTCACGCCTGATGATCTGCCGCGCCCACTTCTCTGATCCGAACCACGAAAGTCAGATCTGTTCTCAGCATGTCGGCTTTCACGAGACTGTCTTCTCCTCATTGGAGGCTGCGACTCATGAATGGAGTCTTCAGGACGTGACCTTGTATACTCATCTGTGGATTACAAACACAAACATCAGCACGTATATGTAATCGTACACAGGGAAGAGGCTTCTACAAATCGTACCTTGAGAAAGCCGTCTTGAAGAGCTTGCCCTGCCAGAGGATTGATTTTCAACAGCAGAAGGCCTTGCATAAGGCACTGAATGGTTACCAGCCACCTCCATGATTGGACCAGGCAATCCTTCCTGATCAGGATTTCCAACATGAGGAGTTGGCACGAAGCTCATGTCCCCAGACGCGTCATGATTGAGAGGGGGAAAAGCAGTGCCAGCTGTAAGTGCAACAGGTGCAGCATCCAAAGCCGTCGGAAGCTCCGCGAGATTCGCTAAAGCGGAAACCGCAGGTGTCAAGTCATCTGGAGACAACTCTTCCAAAAACATGTTGAGTTGAATCTTGGACCTGCAGAGAAACAGTATCAGCAGTGCTCAGAATCAATATTGAGGAAAGCGTCTTCGTGCAGAATTGCAGATTTTCTACCTTTTCACATCATCCTCTGCTGCCTGGACACACTGCTGAGCTTCAACAAGCGTCTTCAAGTTGACAGAGATCCTGCGACAATCCAACAAATGCAAGTGAACAAATGGCTGCTATACCAGGCCACATTCTGGTTGGCTATTTTGGTCGTACAAAACTAGCTTCACCGCACTTACTTGGCAATAAGGCCTTCCTTCTCTTGAACATCCCTCTCCAGCAGTTTCGCATGCTCGAACAGATCTTTTGCCAGTTCTGTCTTGCGGCCAAGGAGGGTCTGCTCCATAAACAAGAAATAGAGTGGAATTAACCTGCTATTTTTCATAAAAACATCAAGAACCATCAAATGCAAAATCCAAACCTGGAGAGTGTCACAGTGCTCCCTCTGTATGGTCACGTCCTTGAGAAGCATCTTTCTCTGCAGAATTGCAAATTGGAACCAATCAGCAAAGTGCACCACGAGGTAAAACTGTTGAAGGCGAATGACTTTTCCATGTACCTCACGCTCGAGTTCCATCCTTTCAGCAGATACGGCCCTGCTTCCAGAACTAGGTCCAGCAGCTCGATAGTCCACCCCACGTTCTCGTTTCCTCTCACCATGATGCCTTTCACTGAGATGGTCAGTGTCAACAGGGGAATAAAAACATCTTAGTGAAGAGGAGTCACAGATGCTAGAAAACAATATGTGCATAATCAAGACCTGACATGTCCATGCAATCAGCAGCACCTGGTCTCAGAAGGCGACCTTGAGCGTGAGTCATATGAACGATCAGAATAGTCGTCTCTTGAAGGTGACGGAGAAATGCTGCGGCCTGGAAAGACAGGAAGTCAAGGGGATTAGCACCACAAGAAAGAGAGAGACATCCAGCACCATGTCCTACTTGTCAAGGACACGTAGCGCACTCACCACGCTTCCTAGCAGGAGAAGGCCTCCGTCCACGGCGTCTGCCATCTTCAGGCGGAGAACGGTAACGCATGCGATCGCGAAGATCCCCTCCTCTGTACCCCGAGTACTTCCCTGAAACGCCTAATGGAGATGACAGAAACAGGAATATCGAGTAAAACCACATGATGAAGGACTCGCGTGTTCTTCGTGAGCAACTAACAGAAACGCAGGGCAACTCACTTTAGCACCGGCGTCAGGACGGTTCTGGCTGAAAATTAATGGAGGTGGAAAGGTAATCAAATAACCTTGCTCAACACTTCACAAAACATGCATCTTCGTCAACTAGGGTTTGAGAAGACAGAATCCTCCGGTGCCGTTTACATGGTGTCACGTAAGTTGCCAATAACTGAACTTCGGATGAAGCCAATAGTAAATGACGCGTGGAGGATCGCTTACACAAGGACAAACAGAGACAGCTCTCAGGCCCGATGAACCGGCTTGGTGGAAAGCAAATTAACAGATGTCTCGCACAGATGAACGGCTCCAGAAGACACTCACCAGTTGCTCCGGGAGGAGCTTTACGAAGTTCCTCTTCTCCATGCGCGAATGTGCAGTTAGGTCTGTCACACTTTCCCCTTTCATGGAGCACGCAGAGTTTAGTTTTGTATAAATCGCGCGACGCCATGAATGAATCGGGACAGCGTGAATGACAAAGGCTTGCCCTGTGAATGAAGCTGCAAGAAAATGGAGAACTTAGCAAGTTAGTCGTAATAAAGGCGACGGACGCTGCGATGGAGAAGGAATCTCGAGGAGCTCAGCGAATCTCGAGAATAAAGCCACAAAAAGGGTGCTGCTGGTTCAGAGAAATCTGGTTCTCTGTACTCATTTCACTTGAACCTTCTAGGGAACGCTGTTGGCAATGCACACCATTTTGCAAGGAATCAACCGTGCAATACTTGTACGTTTGGTACGGAAATATGTAAACTTGTTCAGAGTAATGACTCACCATGAAGACAATGAATTTATTATTTTTGGTGCAACCTATGATTTGTTCAGCTGACAAATGGCTGCATGCATTCTACCTATGCTTCTAACGGGTGAATTGTGTCAATGATGCACCCCAGTGCACTCAACCCGCAAACAATGCACACAAGCAGCATGCAAGGATGGACGTAATGCACCGCGTGTGGATGTTGAAGCACAAGGCATGTGTAGCTCAGAGATGCGTTGTGAGGGAGAACAGTGGCGCAGAGCGCAACCAATACCCGCCAGCCGCAATTGTTGAGACGGCATTGCAACTGGGAAAAGGTTGGGCACAGCGGCAAGCTATGCAAGGGAGGCAGAAATTCTGTAGCTGACGAGTGGGGGAGCATAGTCGAAGGTGTGGTGGAGAGATGCTGGGTGTGGGAGGAGGAGGGATGGCTGAGGGAAGCAAAGAGGTCAAGGGAATGGAGAAGGGAAAGAAAAGGAGCAGGGAGGGCGAGTGGGGTGGGCAGAAGGAAAGGGGAGCGTTCAGAGTGTGTAGAGGGAGTTGGGCGCGCAGGTGCAGCAGAGAGGGGTCAGCGGAGCTTGTGGGAAGCGATGAGGTTTTTGAGGACGTTGTTGGGGGTGAGGCAGGTGTGGGGGAGGGGCTGCCCCGTGGAGGGCGAGAGCGTGCAGGAGGCCATCCAGCGTGTGATGTGCTCGCGCTCGTATGTGAACCCGTCCCCCGCCACCACCGGCTCCCTCATCACCTCCTGCCACCGTGGTGGTGCGTGCAGGGCAGGGCAGGGCAGGGCAGGGCAGGGCAGGGCGCACATGGGTAAGTGGGCAGAGCAGGGTGATCATGGGTGCGCTTGACTGCATGTGGGGTGAGACCACTGAGCGGGGGCCTTGTATCATACAGGCAGCACAGCACGTACCTTGGAGAGGGGGCAGATGAACTGCGAGTCGCTGTGCTTCTTCCTCGCCTTCACCTCCTCCTCCGCCGCAGCAGCGATCCGCACCAGTGCCGGCTGCACCTCCTTCTTGAGGCTCGGCCGCTTCTCTCGCCGCCGGTCAGCACAGCGCAGAGCCAGCCCCGCAGCCTCCTCCGCCAGGTCCAAGCGCCACTCGCCCCCTGTGCTCTCCAGGTACTTGCTCACCACGCCCACCGCCCCCACTGCTGCCCCCCCCGGGCCCGGCTGGCTGCCGTGGGGTGTCTTGGCGTGCTTGGCGCACTCCGCCAGCATGCGGTGCACCGCCTTCACCGCACGCTGCCCCGTGAGCAGCTGCAGCATGATGAGCCCCAGCGCGTACACGTCGGAGAGCACGCTGATCTCACACGTCTCCACCTCCTCGGGGTCGATGTACCCCAGCGTGCCGCGCACCTTCATGGTGGTGGACCCGTCCGCCTCCAGCAGCCGTGCCAGCCCCACGTCGCCGATCTTGCTCGCCAGGTTGCCGTCCAGCAGGATGTTGTCGGGCTTGAGGTCGCGGTGCACGATGGGGGGGTCGTTGCGGTGCAGGTACATCAGCGCCGTCGCCATCTCCCCGCAGATGCGCAGCCGGTCCGACCAGCTCAGCCGCACCGCGTCTGCCGTCTTGGGCGGGCCTAGCTTGTCCTGTAGTGTGCCGCCCGGGAGGAACTCGTAGACGAGCGCCATGTCTTCGACGCAGCAGCCCATGAGCAGCACGATGTGGGGGTGGCGCATGCGCGACAGCACCTCCACCTCCACGCGGAACTCGTCCGGCCCCTGCCAGCCCTGCCCCTCCAGGCGCTTCACCGCCACCTGGCAGCCCAGCATCTCCCCGCGGAACACCGCTCCGAACGACCCCTTGCCCAGCAGGTTCTCCGCCGCGTAGTTGCTCGTGGCGCGCGCCAGCTGCGCCGCCGTGAACTGCCGGCAGTCAAACCCGTCGCCCACCGTCACCGTGCTGCCGGGGGTGAGCTGGCCTGAGGAGAAGGCGGAGCGGCCGAAGGAGGAGGCAGCGGGCTGCGAGGCCATGGGGCCCTGCGAGTAGGCCGCCAGGGACGTGTTGGAGGGCGCCGACAGGTGGTGGAAGCGAGAGCCGCGTGACGAGGAGGACGACGACAAGGTGGGCGCGGGCCTGGAGAGCAGCCCCCCCGTGCCACTGCTGTCACCCGCTCCTACGCTGCCACCGCCACTCATCACCCCCATGCCACCCCCCGCCGCGCCCTCTATGCTGCCTTGCATGCTGCCCTGGCGGCTGCCATGCCGGCTGCCGCCCGCACTGCTGCCCGCGGGGCTGAGCGCGCTGCCCCTGAAGCTGCTGCCGCCCGCCAGCGGACTGCACGGCGCTGGTGACAGCGCTGCCACCGCCTGGTGGGGGGCGGTTGGGGAACACATGGCGCGAATGATGGCGGGGGGGAGGGAGGGAGACGGGAGCAGTGGGAGAAGGGGTGTGTGTGAGGGAGAAAGAGAAAATGAGAGGGTTGGGGGAGGGGAAGAGGAGGGTAGAGGTTGATATGAGGGAGGGTGGAGTGATGGAGGCAGGTGGCTGCAGTGCACCCACCCGCCATCCACTCCACCATCACCTGCTCGCCCACGCATGTGCCCTTCCCCCCCACCACGCTCACACCCGCCCCTGCCCTCCTGCTGGCCCGCCCGCCTGCCTGCCCATGCGCTTACCCCTGTGCTGTGCGCGCCTCCCTCTTCCCCCCCCCCCCTCACCTCTCTGCCGTCGCCCGGCCCTGCGCTGCTGTCGCCAGCAGCACTGCCGTCCACCTCGCGGTTGCTGCTCACGCCCTTGCCCACCCACGCCGCCTCCTTCCCCTCGCCCGCCCCCTCCGCGCCCCCCGCGCCCCCCTCATCCTCATCCTCCGCCTCCAGCATCGCCAGCTCGTCCGCCAGCAGCGACCGCCCCCCTCCGCCCCCTCCTCCCCCGTCCCATTCCCCTTCCTCCTCCCCTCCCCCATCCCAATCCCCTCTCCCCACCGCCCCGGCCCCCTCCCCCTCCTCCGGAATCCCCTCTGGCAACGCCACTCGCTCCGCACTGCGTTTCCGCACTGCATGCCCCGCCCCCCACCGCCCTTCCTCGCCCGCTCCCCCCTTCGCCATCCCCCCGGGCGTGGCGGAGGGCGAGCACGACGCGCTCAGGCTCAGCCCCATGCCCGCCCCGCGGCCCGCCCCCATCAGCGCCGCTTCCCCCCAACCCCCGTCCCTGGCGGGCATTCCGGCCGCAGCAGCGCCGGGGGAGCGATGGCGCGCCGCGGAGGACATGGGCTGCGCGCCGCTGGCCTGCGGGTGGGTGGGGGGGTAGAGGGGAGGGAAGGGGTGTGGAAAGGAGGGGAGGGGGGGGGGGGACGAGGGGAAAGGGAAGGATGGGGAGAAGGGTGAGTGAAGGCGGCGAAAACAGGGTGGCGCGAGCAGCAAGGAACGAGAGACAACGCTCCACTCACAACACGCCCCCCGGCCCGGCCACACGCCCCCCGCCCCGCCACACGCCCCCCGGCCCCGCCACACTCGGCGCACCTCGGACTCGCGCACCGCCATCTGCTGCAGCTCCTCCAGCGTCGAAAACGACAAGCGCGATTGCTTCCCCCTTTCCCCTCCCGCTCCCGCGCGCCTCTGCTCCGCCCCTTTCCCCCGGTCCATCACTTGCCCCCATGGATCCCTCTCCGCCGCCTCTCCGCCAGTCGCTGCTGCAGGCGGGGCGGGCGCGGGCGCGGGCGCGGCGAGGGGGAGCGAGCGGGAGTGCGGGCCGGAGGAGGAGGAGGAGAGGGAGAACTCGGACGACGGCGCGCCGCTGCTGCCCAGCGGGGACGCGGACGCTTCCAGCGGGGGGGGGTCGGAAGGGCGGCGCACGTGCAGGGGGGACGCGCACGCAGGGGGTTTAAGCGAGGAGGGGGTGGCGGGGGGGAGCGCGGGGGGCGCGAGGCGGGCGGCGAGGGCGTCGTTAGAGGAGGGCGCGGAGTGGAACTGCAGGAAGACGGAGGGCAGCGCGGAGAGGTCGGTGCGCTGCGCGCCGACGAGCTGCTGGTGCTTGTGACCGCGGCCGCCCTGCGACACGACGAGCGTGCACGTGCGCGGCAGCGACGTCTGACACGCCGCCACCACGCCTGACGACGACCACCCCAACAGCTTCCTGGCGCACCGAGGAAGGGGAGGGAGGGGGGGAAAGGGGGGAAAGGGGGGGAAGGGGGAGAGTGGGCGGAGGGACGAGGAGCGGGCGAGGAGCGGAGGGTTGGAGCAGAGCAGCTGGTGGTGGAGGGCGCTCGCGCGGCACAACCGGTAGAATCACAACTCATCCAACCACCCGAGTCCCACTAAACCCCGCCAGCCCTGCCACGCCCTCGCTACCGCCCACGCCGCACCTCTTGACGCCTATGTAGACGCGCTCCGCGTTGGCTCGGCGCGCAGCGAGGCACAGCCCCATCTCGCGGCGGTCGTTGAGCTCCACCGCCGTGCCGCACGCCACCTGCCCCGCGGTGGAGACAGCACCGGTCACGAGGGGGAGGGCGGAAAGCGGGAGGAAGGCACAGTCTTTGAACGAACGGCAGAGGGGGATGACAAAGCGGAAGTTACGGGACAGAGGGTGACTGAACATGGCGATCACAGGCGTCGGTTGAGAGTGGTGGCGAGTGGTGCGATGCATGAAGCGGTGGAGTTGAGGTGTGAGCGCGGTCTGACCCGGCTGGCGGCGGCGGTGGAGAGCAGCGGCTTCATGAGGATGTCGACGAGCTTCTTAGCGTGCTGCAGCGCCGTCTTCGGATCCACCTCGCTCGCCGGTAGCATCATGTTGCCTGCGCCGCACGCACGGCCCACGTGCCACACTCAGAATACCGTTGCGAATGCGATTGCAAAACCACGGGAAAAAAAAAAACGCAAGCAGAAGCAGTGCGGCCATTGCATGCACGACCAGCTGCCCACACGCGATGAGCGAGAGCCCCGGGAATTGGAAGTTCTAAGCACGGGCGAGGAGTGCTTTGAGATGCAGCAGGCAGCGGCAATACGCACGCGACGTGGGCACTTCAGACATGACGTGCACGAGGAGGAAGGTCACGGCGCGCCCCGCCTTGTGCTCCAACGCCAGCTCCAGCGCCTCCTGACTCAAGTCGCGGTGCCGCGTCACCTCCACGATCCACGTCGGCACAGACGCTGGCGGCGACCCCGTCATTGCCGCCAACATACGCGCCGGCAGGAAACCTAATTCTGTTCAACACTCTAAATAATTAACCCTAAAAAACGCGTCGCACACGCCACCGCTCGCTTGCGTTAACCAGCCGAGACGGATAGGAAATTGCTATAGAAGAGGCGAAGCACAACTCAAGGGCAGCCAGCAGCTAGCGAAACACAACTCAACATTCCACTGGAACTCGCCGTTCCTTCCCAAGGCCTTGGCATCCCGTTCCCCTGCCAGCCCATGAACAACCCTCACCAGCTTCTCACGCAAAACCCTACTGCTTGCTCCTACGACCGTTTCGCAAGCACTCGCAAGTTCATTTTAGTTCGCCAACTGTCGCAATCCGCCATAGAATTTCCAGCTAAAGCCTTAGCTTTCAACAAGACTGGAAATTATTAGATCCGCCAGGCCAGCGTGGCGTGAGCTTGAAACCAGCATAGGCGGTGGGGTAACAGAGAACAGGGAAGAGCTGGAGTTGTGGTCGGGTTGGGGCTCGGGTGCGATGAGAGGTGGAGGCTGGCTATGCTGGTTGGCTGTCTGACGGGTTGCCATGATGGTGGCTCGCTCAATAGTTGCACGTCCCACTGGGGAACATGGGCAGCAAGGCAATGGCGAAGCAACTGTGTAGAGAAGCAGAGTGATTGCTCTCTTTTCCAAGCTAATGGGTTCGGGCTGGTGGGACCACAGTGTAGTCAAAGCATTCGAAAGCATTGCAGCTAGTAATTTGAAGCATTGCAGCTAGTAATTTGAAGGTTATGAGACCTTCTGCGACATTTTTGGATTCCACCCTCTTGTTCCACCGTTTTGGCTACAAAATTCTCACAGGCAGAGAACCGCACATCAGTGCCTGCAATATCTGGTGCGAATCCGATCAGGACACTGTAGGGGCGTACTAGGACCTCGTGTCGTGACTCGTGAGGTGATGGTGTGGTGTGCGTGATGGCTTTCTCCCATCCCTTTTCTCGATCATCCCCCAACCACGACACGACACAGCTCCATCCCCGTTTACAGAGATTTATCTTCGACATTAGCAAACCAGGGAATGCTGTGTTGGGAGATGTAAACGAGGGTGCGCTGATTAACTTGTAAAGACGGTATATGTTCGAAAAGTACTATGAATGTTACACAGGGGATCAAAGAAAAGCAGGTACGGTACGGTGCAGCCTCTTTTTCAACCAACATATAAGACTTGCCTGCTCACAAAGATAACCTTACTCACGGGCAGTCAACCAACAGTGCACCTTTCAATAACCAGCTCTGTCAATTGTCTACCAGCCACACTCAGATTTCTGGCCGTTATAAAAAGACAGTGGTTATACTGTGGTATGTTGCTGTCAAACAATATGTTTAATATATACCCTGCATGCTCTAGTTACTGTAGTTATTATTATTAAGAGTTGGTGGTGCACCTTCTTTGTTGCTTTGCTATATGTACCTTGTGTGCTATAGTGAAACCCCCTTTTTCCTTGCCTAAACTCTCTCGACACTTTCTCCTCTTCACCCTAGCATGGCTCCTCACCTCTAGCTACTATCTTGACATGGTACAGAGCTGGTTCTTTCCCGGAACCTTCTCTTTTTTTTTTTAAGAATCATGGGCCCGCCCGTACTACAGTGCAGAAGGGTGAGGGGGTGGCGGGAGAAGACAGGTGCGGAAGGTGTGAGGTTGACGGGGTTGAGTGACGAGGGGGGTGAGGACTAGGGGGTTCTTAACGGGGGGGGATCGCATTGAGCGTGCGCGCTCATGCCCGCCTAGCCCACCTCCTCTCCTCATCGGGACTTGGGGGTTCTTAACGGGGGGGGATCGCTATGAGCTTTCGCGCTCAAGCCCGCCTAGCCCACCTCCTCTCCCTTCCCTCTCTCACCTCCCCTTTGTAAAAGGAGGTTCGTAAGCGGGTCCGCCGGTCCTGGCCCCCCACCTCCTCTCCTCTCCTCTCCTCTCCTCTCCTCTTCTCTCCTCTCCTCTCACCTTCCTCACTTCTCTGCCTTCTTCCACAGCGCTTGGTTTGCTCGTTCAGGGGGTGCTGGCTGCACCAGTTTCTACTGCACGCAGGCTAAGGGGGTGTGTCAAACAATATGTTTAATATATACCCTGCGTGCTGTAGTTACTGTAGTTATTATTATTAAGAGTTGGTGGTGCACCTTCTTTGTTGCTTTGCTATATGTACCTTGTGTGCTATAGTGAAACCCCCTTTTTCCTTGCCTAAACTCTCTCGACACTTTCTCCTCTTCACCCTAGCATGGCTCCTCACCTCTAGCTACTATCTTGACAGTTGCTCACAGTAGTGTTCTTGATTTTCCACAGATTGCTTAAAACCAATTAGCTGGATTAACTAACTATGTATGAAACCAGGAGACGAAAGACGGCAAGAAGCTCCTATCTCTGGTTATTCTTTACTCTGATTTATATGAGGCTGGTGGAACACGGTTGGTTAACCATCCAGCAAGGTCAGCAGGCAGCAGGGGAGGTCAAGCCAGGCACGGGTGCAGCAGAGTCGTGGGAGGGAGGTGAGGCAGCGGAGAAAGCAGCAGGCGCTGCAGAGAGAGCAGATGGGAGTGCTTGGAGGTCTGCTGGGGTGAGTGGCCTGGACAGATCATCGCCATCAGAAGCAGTGGCGGTGGGGGAGACGGCAGCGGCAGTGGCAGGGGAGGCGAGGAGCTTCTTGATGTCGTCGGCTGTCATTGTCTCGCGCTCCAACAGCGCCCCCGCCAGCACATGCAGCTGCTGCTCGTGCTGCCACATGCACACACACAAGCCCATGTGAGAAACCCCAAACCCCAAACCCTAACCCTTGACTGGCAGAAGAAGGGCAGTGAGGAGGAGAGCGCAAGGCATGCAGTCCAGCGCACAGTTCCAAGGAAGTGGGCAGCACGCACCTGCTTGAGGAGGGTGGTGACACACCTGCTTGAGGAGGGTGGTGACGCACCTGCTTGAGGAGGGTGGTGACGCACCTGCTTGAGGAGGGTGGTGACACACCTGCTTGAGGAGGGTGGTGACGCACCTGCTTGAGGAGGGTGGTGACGCACCTGCTTGAGGAGGGTGCTGACGCACCTGCTTGAGGAGGGTGGTGACGCACCTGCTTGAGGAGGGTGGTGACGCACCTGCTTGAGGAGGGTGGTGACGCACCTGCTTGAGGAGGGTGGTGACGCACCTGCTTGAGGAGGGTGGTGACGCACCTGCTTGAGGAGGGTGGTGACGCACCTGCTTGAGGAGGGTGGTGACGCACCTGCTTGAGGAGGGTGGTGACGCACCTGCTTGAGGAGGGTGGTGACGCACCTGCTTGAGGAGGATGGTGACGCACCTGCTTGAGGAGGGTGGTGACGCACCTGCTTGAGGAGGGTGGTGACGCAACTGCTTGAGGAGGGTGGTGACGCACCTGCTTGAGGAGGGTGGTGACGCACCTGCTTGAGGAGGGTGGTGACGCACCTGCTTGAGGAGGGTGGTGACGCACCTGCTTGAGGAGGGTGGTGACGCACCTGCTTGAGGAGGGTGGTGACGCACCTGCTTGAGGAGGGTGGTGACGCACCTGCTTGAGGAGGGTGGTGACGCACCTGCTTGAGGAGGGTGGTGACGCACCTGCTTGAGGAGGGTGGTGACGCACCTGCTTGAGGAGGGTGGTGACGCACCTGCTTGAGGAGGGTGGTGACGCACCTGCTTGAGGAGGGTGGTGACGCACCTGCTTGAGGAGGGTGGTGACGCACCTGCTTGAGGAGGGTGGTGACGCACCTGCTTGAGGAGGGTGGTGACGCACCTGCTTGAGGAGGGTGGTGACGCACCTGCTTGAGGAGGGTGGTGACGCACCTGCTTGAGGAGGGTGGTGACGCACCTGCTTGAGGAGGGTGGTGACGCACCTGCTTGAGGAGGGTGGTGACGCACCTGCTTGAGGAGGGTGGTGACGCACCTGCTTGAGGAGGGTGGTGACGCACCTGCTTGAGGAGGGTGGTGACGCACCTGCTTGAGGAGGGTGGTGACGCACCTGCTTGAGGAGGGTGGTGACGCACCTGCTTGAGGAGGGTGGTGACGCGGGCATACGCCTCTCGGAGCAGCCGTGCCACCTCAGCATCCGCCACGCGCAGCACCTCGCCGCTCACACGCCCCTCCCCCGCGCCGTCGCTCTCAATGAACACCGGGCCCAGCTTGTCACTCATGCCGCACTCGCGCACCATCTGCCGCGCCAGCCGCGTGGCCTGCCGCAGGTCGTCCCTTGCCCCGCTGGTGACGTGCTGCACGCCGAACACCAGCTCCTCCGCCACGCGCCCGCCCATGCACACGTCCAGCCGTGCCAGCATCTGCGCGCGCGTGCGGCTCGTCTCAAAGTCGTCGTCGGGCATCTGCGTGACCATGCCCAGCGCGGCCCCGCGCGGCATGATGGTTGCCTTGTGGATGGGCAGCGCGTGCGGCGTGTGCAGTGCCACCAGCGCGTGCCCACTCTCGTGGTACGCCGTGTTCTGCCCCCCGGGAGGGGGGGAGGGAGGAGACGGAGGTGCATGATATGGAGGGTGAGTGCATGGTGGGGGGAAACACACACAACAATCAGCATGCGATGGCAACCAGCTCACCTCACTCTTAAGGAAGCACCACCACCACCTTCGACCGCACAGCACGCATGCACGCACCTTACGGCAGGTCTGTGAGAGCACGAGGGAGCGGCGTTCAGCGCCCATGAGGATCTTGTCTTTGGCGAACTCGAGCTGCTCCCTGCCCACCGCCGCCACGCCGTCCAACGCTGCCTTCACCGCCGCCATGTTCACCAGATTCGCCAGGTCTGATGGCGCTCGCTCACAGGGGGGGGGGGAGGACGACGGGCCCGACACAGGCAAGAAGAGCAATCAGAGGTTTTCAGTGTTGAGCAGAATTGACTGCGATTAGATGCCTGCGCCCTGCTCCTCTACGCCCTGCCCAGCCCTTCACAGCCCCCCCTCTACCCCACAGCCCACCTGCGCCGCTGAAGCCGGGAGTGCCCTTGGCGAGCGTGGCGACGTCCACATCAGCGTGCAGCGGCTTGCCCTCCAGGTACAGCTCCAGGATCTCCCTCCTGCCCCTCACGTCCGGTGCCGACACCACCACCTGCTCCCAGGTAGCAGGGGCGCTCACACACGCACCCATGCATGCATGCGCGCACACACACACTCTCACATCCACGCGCGCCCCCACAGAGACGAATGCAGGGAGAGCTTAAGCCCTTGCGTTGCGAGCACAGCACAAGTGGGAACAAGAGATGAATGGCAAAGAGGGATGAGAGGACCAGTTAGCTCCTACCTACTGCCTTCCCCTGGCCTCCCTCCCCCATGCTCTCATCTCATCCCCCCTCCCCTCTCTTCCCCTTCCCCTCCCCCTCAGGGCTCACATGACGGTCAAAGCGGCCGGGGCGGGTGAGGGCGGGGTCGAGCATGTCCGGCACGTTGGTGGCCGCCATCACTATTATGCCCTGCACACCACCCCGTGCCATGCCCATGCCCATGCCCATGCCCATGCCCATGCCCATGCCCATGCCCATGCCACCCATGCCACCCATGCCACCCATGCCACCCATGCCACCGCATGCACCACTCCCCATGTGACCATGCAGCACGGCCCATGCACGCACCACACACGGCGGGTGCATAGGGGAGCAGAGAGAGGAGGGGATTGGGCTTCAGCACAACTCCAAGGGAAGCGGGGGGACATGGTGAGAATAGGGGAAGTGCACGAACGGAGCATGCTGGTGAGTGCAGCCGCAGCAGCAGCAGCAGCAGCAGCAGCAGCAGCAGCAGCAGCAGCAGCAGCAGCAGCAGCAGCAGCAGCAGCAGCAGCAGCAGCAGCAGCAGCAGCAGCAGCAGCAGCAGCAGCAGCGGGGGCGGAGGTGGTGGAGGGGGGGGGCGGAGGTGGTGGAGGGGGGGGGCGGAGGTGGTGGAGGGGGGGGGGCGGAGGTGGTGGTGACCTCGTTGGGTTCGAAGCCGTCCATCTCAACGAGCAGCTGGTTGAGCGTCTTCTTGCTGTGCCCCTCCCACTGCTTGCGACTGCCCCCCACCGCGTCTATCTCATCTATAAACACTATGCACGGCGCCTGCCAGCACCGCACCACACCGCACACGGGGGGCACACAGTGCATGGGGGGCACACAGTGCATGGATGGAACGCAAGAGAGGGAAGAGAGCCAGGCGGTAGGCAGGGCAGGGGGCAGGGGGTTGGAGAGCCAGGGAGGTGGTTGAGGATCTCGTGGAGGCTGGCAGGCGTGGCAATGCACTCTGCGCACTGCAGCACAAATGCAACTCTGCACTTTCATAAGGTAACATTAGTCACCAACAGCTAGTGAAGCAACATCATCATAGGCAGGGCAATGCGGCAGGGTCATGAGGCAGGGTCATGCGGCAGGGTCATGCGGCAGGGTCATGCGGCAGGGTCATGCGGCAGGGCGCTGACTGACCTTTTTCTTGGCCGCTTGAAACAAGGTGCGCACCCGCCGTGCCCCCACTCCCACAAACCTGCCATGGCATGCCATGATGACATTGGCAGCAATGGGATGAGAGGCACCAGAACTCACAACCTGCTGCATGCATGGCATGGCATGGCATGGCAGCAACATGGTGCATGCATAAACAGTATCAGGAAATGAAGCATGTGTCCATTCCCTCCTCCTCCCCTTATCTCCTCTTTCCATGCACATGCACAACCCTGTGCCTCCTGTGCCCTCTGTGCCCCCTCTGCCCTCTGCCCCCTGTGCCCCCTCTTCCCCCTCTGCCCCCTGAGCCCCTTGTGCTCCTTGTCCCATCCCCTGTCCCTCCCATGTCCCTCCCCCTGCCCATCCCCCTGCTCCCCCCCCCCCCTGTCCCCCCTCCCTCCCCAGCGCTTACATCTCTTCGAACTCGGAGCCGGCGCGGTAGAAGAACGGCACCCCCGCCTCGCCCGCTATCGCCTGCCACCCCGCACACACGCACATACCAGGGGGTGACCACCCGTGGCAGCAAGGGAGGAAGGAGTGGAGAGGAGGCGGTACAAGATCAAGCAGAGGAGGTGGGTGAAAGTGGTGTGAGGGGTGTGAGGCGGGAGAGCGAGAGAGGGAAAGGGAGAGAGTGGTTGACGGCGAGGAGCACGGAGACGAAGGGAGGCGAGGGCATGCGGGAGGAGATTGATGCAAGGTTGGAGCAGAGAGGAGCGGGCACGGAAGAAGAGGGGGGCACCTTGGCAAGAAGCGTCTTGCCCGTGCCTGGCGGGCCGATCAGCAGCACCCCCTGCAGCCACACGGCACGAGGCACAAGGCATGAGGCACAAGACATGAGGCACAAGACATGAGGCACGAGCACAGATTGAAGGAGGCAGAGAGGGGCAGGCAAACGGCGTGCAGAGAGGGGCAGGCAAACGGTGTGCAGAGTGGCGAAGCATGTTGGACAGCAGGGTGAGAGCAGAGGTGGTGGCAGATGCAGCAGGACAACCGAGGCTTCAAAAAGATACCCCCCACCGTAACCCCACTGTAACCCCACTGTAAACCCACCCAACACGAGGTTCCATTGCTCACAATACCCCCACGCCTTCTCCCTCCCTCCTCTCCCCCCACACCTTGGGCTGCTTGCCCCCTCTCCCCCCACCTTGGGCAGTTTGCCACCGAGGCGGGTGAAGCGGTCGGGGTCGCGCAGGTACTCCACGATCTCCTCCAGCTCTGCCTTGGCCTCGTCACACCCCCGCACGTCCTTGAACGTGCGCACACTCTGACCCACGGCCACACAGGCGCAAGAGAGAACAAGGGAGGGGAGAGGAGCAGAAAGGAGAAAGGAAGGGGGAAAACGGGGGGCGGTGAAGATATGACGGCGATGAAGCTCTGCCCCTCCACACACCCCTCACACTCACTTGGTCTTGCCTATCTCACACATTATCTCACCTTCTCCGGCATGCTCTCACCTTCTCCGGCATGCTCTCACCTTCTCGGGCATGTTCTCACCTTCTCGGGCATGTTCTCACCTTCTCGGGCATGTTCTCACCTTCTCGGGCATGTTCTCCTTGTTGTACTCCTTCGGCGAGTACACGCCCGCCCCGCCCGCCCCCATGCCCGCTGCTGGCCCGCCTGCCACCCCCGCGCCTCCCATGCCCGCCACTCCACTGGCGTAGCGCCTCAACGCCGTTGTTGCTGCCGCCCTGCCCCCGTGCAGCACGCACATGCGGGGACGCACACACACACACACGCATGTGCGCAGGCATGCACGTTTAGAAGCAGCAGCCAGGCATGCACGTATAAATGACTCAGCCATGCATGCACAGTCGAGCACACATGCGAGCATGCAGCACAATAGGATAGGTAAAGTTGGTCCAAAATACACGGGGCTAAGTGGCGGGCGAGAGAACAGAGGTGGGCAAGGAGGGGGCAGAGGAGGGCGAGGAGGGGACAGAGGAGGGGGCGGACCAGATGAGGAGGGGGCGGACCAGATGAGGAGGGGGCGGACCAGATGAGGAGGGGGCGGACCAGATGAGGAGGGGGCGGACCAGATGAGGAGGGGGCGGACCAGATGAGGAGGGGGCGGACCAGATGAGGAGGGGGCGGACCAGATGAGGAGGGGGCGGACCAGATGAGGAGGGGGCGGACCAGATGAGGAGGGGGCGGACCAGATGAGGAGGGGGCGGACCAGATGAGGAGGGGGCGGACCAGATGAGGAGGGGGCGGACCAGATGAGGAGGGGGCGGACCAGATGAGGAGGAGGCGGACCAGATGAGGAGGGGGCGGACCAGATGAGGAGGGGGCGGACCAGATGAGGAGGCCGAAGAAGCAGGCGAGCAGCGCGGAGAGCAGCTCCTGCAGCCAGCGCAGCCCACGAGACAGCGGCTTGGCCTCCCTCTCCACCTGCACCGCGGCGGTCACATGCCCCACACAGTGAGAGAGAGAGGTGGGGCGATATTGGCAGTGCGGGCCAGTGGGAGGGAGAAAGAGAGCGAGGTGGACGGAAGCGCACATACATGCTTGGGAATAAAGTGGCGTGGAAGCAACAGCTGCACAGCGCAGTGAAGAACAATGAGCACATGCGATCATGACATGCTGCACATACCATGACATGCTGCACATACCATGGCATGCTGCACATACCATGACATGCTGCACATACCATGACATGCTGCACATACCATGACATGCTGCACATACCATGACATGCTGCACATACCATGACATGCTGCACATACCATGACATGCTGCACATACCATGGCATGCTGCACATACCATGACATGTATGTATGCACACACAAACACACACAAGTGGCCATGACGCTCCACATACCACCACCCGCGTGCACTCACCACCACACTGTGCATGCACTCACCATCACAACATGCAGGGGCGTCTGCTCCGTGGTGCCAGGTGGCAGCCCCAGCTGGCCCTCGTCTGACGTGGCGCGTTGCTTCAGATCCTCCAGCTGATAACGTCAGCACAGAGTGGGAGAGACAGGAGAGGGTGTGATGGGGAGGCGGCAAAAGCAGGTGGGGCATTGTGAGAACTGAGGGGGCGGTCGCACCGGCAATGCGAAGGATGCGCGCAAGGGGAGGGGGGCGTACGAGCAAGGGGAGGGGAGGGGGGCGTAGCAACGGGAGGGGGGGGTAAGAGCAAAGGGGGGCGTACGAGCAAGGGGAGGGGGGCGTACAAGTAAAGGGAGGGACGAAGGGCGGGCATTGTGGTTGGAGGGGAGGAAGGAGGAGAGGCGGTCGGTGGCGACGAGCGCCCTGAGGTACACCGCCACGCCCTCCGCGTCCACCGCGTGCTGCCGCGCCTCAAAGCGCTGCACCACCGCCCCGGGACTGATGGGGTGCGGGATGGACAAAAGGGCAGCGCGGGAGGGAGGGGGAGGAGGGAGAGCAACGCGGGGAGAGGGATAGAGTAGAAGGGGTAAGAGGAAAGTTCAGGCAAAACGTAGAGGAGTGGGTACGGCATGGCGCGGATGGCATGGCGCGGATGGCCCGTGGGTGAGACGGCTCTACAAGGCTGCCTCACCATGAGCGCGGGCAAGGCAGCGCGGATATGGGACGGGGGGAAGACGGAAAAGGACGGGGGAAGACGGAATAGGGCGGGGGAAAGACGGAGTAGGACGGGTGTAGACGGAATAGGACGGGTGTAGACGGAATAGGACGGGTGTAGACGGAATAGGACGGGTGGGGACGGAATAGGACGGGGGGAAGTCAGGATGGGACGGAGACAGGGGAGTGAGCAGCATGGGGAGGCAAGGCAGCGAGAGGGCGTAGCAGGGAGCCCATGGGCGCAGGGCGCGCAGCACTGACTCGGCGCGCAGCAGCTCAGCCAGGTACTCCGCCTGCCTGCGCGCGTCCCCCGGGCTGCTGTCCGCCGCCTCCAGCAGCTGGCGCAGGCGCCGCCTCTGCTGCCACAGCGGCCACGCCGCCACCATGCGCGCCACCCGGCTCTGCGCCACTGCGGACGCCGCCGCCGCCACCACGTTCAACGGAAACCACAACGTGCGACGCACTTCCCCCTCCCCCCCTTCCTCCCCCTCCTCCCCATCCTCCCCATCCTCCCCCTCCTCTCCCTCATCAACCTCCTCCCCCGCCTCCCCCGCCTCTTCTGCCTGCTCCCTCCCCCCTCCTGCACTATCGTCCCCGCGCGCTGCTCCTGCAGGCCCCCCGACAGGCGCGGAGGCAGTGGCGGCGGCACGGTCCGTGGCGGCAGCAGGGTCCGTGGCGAGAGACGCGGGGCGCGTGGGAGCTGCGGCAGCGCACGCGGAGCTGCTCGCTGCACCCCCGCTGCTGCTGCCGCCGCCCGACCCCTGAGAATGCCGATCCGCGGTATCCGCGCTGTCCGAGGCGAACACCGGGTCGCCCGCCTTCGCCTGCTCGCGTGATGGCACAGCTTCTTGCTCTGATTGGTCGCCAGGGCCGTGCGACGTGGACGCCTGGCAACGCACACTCGATGACCTGCTTTCATGCCCCAAATACCATCGCTTTCCATCTCCTGGCAACAACCGGCCTCTCGCATATAGAACTTCAATTCTGCCGTTGCCGCTTCGCGCTGATCGCGACGGTTGCACACGGCGCGGATGGGCTAGCCGTTGCGAAATAGATAGCGACTGGCGCGTCGAACGGCGACGGATGGCGGGCGAGATACGGCAATTCGACGGCCAGAGTGGCTGGTACAAGGTTGGACTAGAAGAGCCGCGTCTCACGGCAGCGTCGCTCCAACAATCGGGTTGTGCGGCTCTCCCTGCGACTTCGGCAGCTAACCCGCCGCGAATTGCTGCTGATTGTAAAGACGCCATGGCCGCAATTCAGTATGATAGCAATCTACTGCACGAAAGCAGTGCACTATAGGCTACGACGCGTATTGAAGGAGAGCAGCATGGGCGATGGCTGATATGCGGTCGGCAGTCAGAAACTGAGGTTGCCTCAGCCGAAAAGCTCGATGATGAACCGAACTTGGTTCCCCGAACCCCACAGATCGAAGTGAAGGGGTGCGCACCCCTCGCAAAAACAACCAGTTTTCCAGTGCGAACAATTTCCTGAATTTTCGCACACGCAAATAGGTTTGTCACCAAATTGACAATACACATCGCTACACTAGCAAAGACTATTTTGAAACTTCAGTTATAATGTTGCAGCTGGTAACTAAAGAGACGGTTACGACCTCTAAAGTTCCTTGCAACTGTTCGGTCCAGGTTGGTCAACGGCCGCGACAGTTGACCTGCGTGCCCTATATGGGCTGTTACAAATAGTGAAATGAGGTTGTACACTCCAAACCGTAGCAAGCGAAGCACACCGTATCGAGGCTGAATGCGAAGAGGCAGAATGACGCGAAGAGTCGCGTACGGTTACAAAACATCTGGACCGTAGGAGAAAACGGCATCGGGCAGCTGCAGGAGCGAGGGAATTGGCGGGAACAATTCAGCTTGGTTCGTGCGCATAGAAAAGTTCGGCGCATGCGACGTCGGCAGTGTATGCAGACATATGGTTCCGGGCGCAAGGATCCCCATAGACGTAGGGAAAAGCATCGAACGATGAATGTTGTTGCATATTCGGGTGGCATATGCTAAAATACACCTAGTAGAGCAATTTGTTACAGGGGGTTTTACTGTTCATTCCGAACAGTACTTTCCCAACCCATCCAACCTTATCTTCCTAGATTTCCATGTGCCACGTGGCACTAGACTTTTCTAGCTTCACAATTCCTAGTCCCACAATCTACTTTCCAACCTTGTTTCTTGCATGCTATATAAACCTTGCTTGTATTCCCTCATATCAACCAATTCTCATTCAACTCTTCTTCAATTATTCAGTTGCTTCTTCGCCTATTTCGCCAGTAGTCTTTTCGCCAAAGTCTTCCGCCGCATTTTATCCTCGACTTAATCGACCCCGCTAATCTTTAGCAAACTTAGGCCGTCGGGCCTAACACTTGGTATCAGAGCCTTCGCGGGGAGCGACTTCCAACGAGCGACCGTCGACGACGAGACTACGACGTCATCGTCCCGCGGTGCCGACTTGCAGACTTGGAGTCGTCGAGCGAACATGGACGAATCCATGAACGCTTTCCCCCACGACATGGGCAACACCGTCACGCTTGCCGAGCTCATGCGCCAACTCGAACAGCTGACGTTGGAAAATCGTCAGGTACGAGCCGAAATGCAACAGCTTCGCAATTTGGCTTCTAACCCCCATGGTCATGCCGCACCAACTCCTGCACCCACCACGTCGACTGGCGCGGAAGCGCTGCCGGAACGTCGAAGCGCGCTCAAGCCGCAGAAGCCCGAGTCGTTCGACCCAAGTCAACGCGACGCGAACGTGCGGACGTGGCTCTTCATGCTCAACAACTACTTCGCCGCGAGCGGGGTGCAAGAGGCGGACGCGCAGCAGCGGATCGAGCACGCTGTTACGCTGCTGAGGGGCCGGCCTTGGAGTGGTGGCGCCAACTTACGCAGACTGCTGTACGGAGGGCTCAAACGGACGGACATCAGCAAGACGTGGGGCTGCAGCTGCAACTTCGACCTTAGGGGGTTTAGCTTTGGGTGTTACCACGGTTCCGACGACATGGGAAGGATTTGAAGCGGCGCTGAAAAGTAGGTTCGATTTGGTGAACGCCTCCGAAGCTGCTAGGAAGCGTCTGCGTCATTTCCGACAGATAGGAAACCTCCAAGAGTACACACGACGGTTTTTGAGCATCTGCAACGAAATAGACGACATCACGGAAGCAGAGATGCGCGATCGCTACCTCGAAGGGTTGAAGGCGGACATAGCGGAGGTTATAGCGATTCACGGGTTGTCCACCTTCGAGTCGGTAGTCGCAGCAGCAGAACGCGTCGACGCAGTACGAAGCCGACGGGGTCGTGACGATCGCGATAGGGGATACAACAGACCGATCAACGACGCTCGATCGAGGGACGGACCGTCGCCCATGGAGATTGGTGCAGTTAACAGTGACGGCTCACAGCGAACGGGTTTTAGGGGGAACTGTCACTACTGCAAAAAGCCGGGTCACATGAAGCGGGACTGCCCACAGTTCAAGGAGCGGCAGCAGGGAAACGGAAACCGCCAGTAGATAGCGGGTCGCTAGCTGGTGTGGAGGTTCCCGTACCCGCCACGTCTACCAACGTAGAGGAGACGGCCTCGCAGCAGTCATCTACGGAGAACGAGGTAGACACTGTTGATCGTCCAGTCGTGCTTCTAGGGAAGCTTCGCGGAGTTCCTGTTAAGATTCTCGTCGATAGCGGAGCTAGCCACTCGTTCGTTTCGTCTTCATTAGTTAGTCGTCTCCATCTCGAAGCAGACACTTCAGTCAACTTCAAGGACGCACGTATGATAGATGGGACGCCTCTCCACATAGGACCGATCATCCGCAAGTTGCACGTAGTGTTAGGACTGATCACAGTTAGGCGTGATTTCGACTCTGCGACGCTGGACGGTTACGATTTCATCTTCGGGAGAGATTGGCTACGGACGGTTAGTTTTCAGTTCGATTGGGCTCAGAGAAGCTACAATGTCAAGGTAGACGGGGAGTTACGGGAGCTGCCACAGTGGAGCGATGGGGCCACATCATCCACAGCTATCATTAATGCTGTTCGTGTGCGACAGTTAGTGAAGCGTGCGGCACGGATCTTCGCGGTTTTCCTTGAGGAGGTGGAAGCTGAGGAGGGGAAAGGAGGGAGTGCAGCAGTTAGTGAGAAGGCGACTCTTCCTGCTGAGGTGAGTGCACTGTTAGCAGAGTTCGCAGACGTCTTCCCCGACGAGTTGCCCCCAGGGTTACCTCCCAGCCGAGCAGTAGACCATCGAATAGAGTTGGAGCCGGGGAGCAGGCCAGTAGCGAAGCCGCAACGGAGGTTGAGTCCAGCAGAGACAGAGGAGATGACGCAGCAGGTGTACGATTGGGGTTCATACAACCATCTAGATCGCCTTGGGCCGCACCGATCCTTTTCGCGCCTAAGAAAGACGGAGGGTTACGGATGTGCATAGATTACCGCGCACTGAACGCCGCCACCGTCAAGAATATGTCACCAGTACCACGGGTAGAGGATCTTCTAGATGCAGTGCAGGGCGCTAGAGTCTTCTCCAAGATCGACCTTCGTTCGGGTTACCACCAGATTCGCGTAGTTCCAGAGGACCAGCACAAGACGGCGTTTCGTACGAAGCAGGGGTTGTACGAGTTTAGGGTTCTACCGTTCGGTTTGACCAACGCCCCAGCAACGTTTCAGACACTTATGAACACCGTCCTCTCCGAGTTTCTATGGTCGTTCGTCGTAGTTTACCTAGACGACATCCTTGATCATATTTTCCAAGTCAAAGGAGGAGCACGTGCAGCACTTGCAGCATGTCTTTGAGGTCTTGCGGAGGGAGAAGCTGTACGCGAAGCAGTCTAAGTGCGAGTTCTTCCTCCCCGAGGTCGCAGCAGAGGAAGCCGCAACGCTGTTCGTAGATTCACCTCGAAGTTATGGAAGCAGCTTTTCGCACTGTTTGGGACTCGCTTAGCCATGTCGTCTGCGTACCATCCAGAGACAGACGGACAGACCGAGCGTGTGAACCAGACTTTGGAGCAGATTTTCCGCAGCATCACGATGCACGACGCAGCAGCATGGGACAAGAAGCTGAGCATGGCAGAGTTCGCATACAACAACACGCACCACTCCGCCACAGGCATGTCACCGTTCTTCGCACTGTACGGTCAGCACCCCAATGTCCCCACTCGTGTCGATCTCACACCCACAGTCCCACGTGCTGATAACTTCCACCAGCACCTCACCTTCATTCACGATCACATGAGGAAGCACCTTGAGCTTGCTAATGCACGCATGGCACGCACCACCAACCGCAGTCGTCGTGAGGTGTCGTTCGCAGTCGGTGACCGTGTCCTTCTCGATAGCCGCAACCTCCGACTGCCACAGGACAGCAAGCTTCGCCCACGTTTCATTGGTCCATGTTTCTTGAGCGCGCACTTGGTCCAGTCGCATACCGCCTTCGCCTTCCCGCTCATTTCCGCATGCACCCGTCATTCCACGTGTCTCTCCTTCGTCCATACACCGATCCCAACTCCACCTTCTCGGGCCGTGATCGCACTCCACTGCCGGTAGATGTTGATACCGACGAGCCCGACTATCAGATCCAGCGCATCCTCAGGCACCGTCGCCGTCTCCAGGGGGGTGTCTCTTTCATCGACTTCTTGGTTCGTTGGCGTGGTTACGATGCAGCCGACGACAGCTGGGTTCCTTCGTCCTCGCTGTCTCCCGACAACGCTTGCCTCCAACCGTATCTTCAGTCTGCAAGCGCCGCGGACGTCGCCTCCTTGGGAGGGGGGTAGTGTTACGGGGGGTTTTACTGTTCATTCCGAACAGTACTTTCCCAACCCATCCAACCTTATCTTCCTAGATTTCCATGTGCCACGTGGCACTCTACTTTTCTAGCTTCACAATTCCTAGTCCCACAATCTACTTTCCAACCTTGTTTCTTGCATGCTATATAAACCTTGCTTGT